TCAGCCCCCCGCCCCGCGGAGCGGAGCGTCACGCTGTCCGCTCGGTGGGCACAGAGCGGCTCCGGGGCCGCCGCTGCGACACGCTCAAGCAAGAGTTCCCGACCGTAGGTCTTCCCTGTCGTCGGAGGGCACCAAGTATACACCAACACCGATCCTGGCCCAGGATCACCCTGGGCCCAGGATCGGTGTATATGCCTTCTTGCGCAAGGCAGGAGGGCGTATACACCGATCCTGGGCCCAGGGTGATCCTGGCCAGGATCGGTGTTGGTGTATAGTTGGTGCCTTCCTATGTCGCACCACTTGACGTGTCGTTGGGCCGGGCCCGGCGTTTTGCTTGCGGCTTTCCTGCCGCTCGTGCTCCGGAAGGCCGAAGCTTCCAGTGGTGGCACGGGCGGAGGGCGGTTGCTTTTCAGCATGGGGCTCTTGCCTTGGCGCCGTGCGCGCTCGTTTTCAGATGATCCGAGCAGTTACACAGACGGATGCTGGTACGTTTTCGAAGCGTGGCGCTCGGATTAGCGTAGCGCGCGTTCGCCTCGGAGCCTCCAGCCAGGTGCACGAATGGAGGCAGGTACGGTTTCAAAGTTTGTGGCTCTCGCCCACGACCTGGACACATATCATCACAAGGTTCAACATGTGCGACACTTGCGCGGGTGGATGGCTGCTCCTTTTTCAGAACGGGGCTCTCGCCTGCGACGTCGTCAGGTTGCAGGATCATAAGCTAACCAGAGTGCAGCGCCTACACGCATGGATGGCGTTTGTGTGTTCCAAGCGGGGCTGTTGCAGGGCGCCACCTTGAGTTTGATAACCCTCGGCCGCGCGCAGAAGGGGGGCACGGGGGACTGGGGAAGGCTTCTCAGACGCGCGCCTGCTCCTCAGGAGGCGCGGGCCCTGCCCGTAGATGTAAGGCGGGCGCCTTCTAAGGAACAGCACCCCTGTACTTCAACCTGTATATAATATTTATGAGAGGCAGCCTCCTTCGACGAAGCCCCCCCCCCCCCCCTTCGGGTTTCGAGGGGTGTCTCCCGAACTGCGGTGGTAATTTGGCGGGGGTCTCGAAAGGGATGAGGATGAGGATGCTGACGCACTCCTCCGCTGCGCCGAAGACGCCCGCGCTGGGACCGCGGCGCGGGCCAGCCTTTTCCACTGCTGCCCCCCCCTGCCTCCCCTTGTGCGCGCCGCCGAGAAAAAAGAAGCCCCGCCGTGCCGCAGTGCGTCTCTCGCTCGACGGGCGCAGGGCTCGGCCCCTCTCTCTCTCTCTCGCGCTCTCTCGCTCTCTCCGAGCGGAGCGCCCCCGCCCGAGCCGCGGGCTCGTAGGGCCGTCGCCTCTCGTTGGGGGGACGCCTCGCGCACGGAGGGCAGCGTCTTTTCAATACGCAGCTTCCGCCTGAGTTGGGGGGGGCTCCTCCTCCTCCTCCTCCTCCTCCGCCCTTCCTCCTCCTCCTCCTCCTCTCCTCTCTCCTCCTCATCTCCTCCTCCTCCTCCCTTCCTCCTCCTCCTCCTCCTCCTCCCCCCCCTCCTCCTCCTCCTCCTCCTCCTCCTCCTCCTCCTCCTCCTCCTCCTCCTTGTCCTCCTCCTCGCATCGAGGGCAGAGCCCGAGGTGGCGAGGAGGATGACGGAGGAGGGGGGGGGGAGGGGAAGGAAGACGCTGAGAAGGGTGATCGATGATGATGATGATGATGATGATGATGATGATGATGATGATGATGATGATGATGATGATGATGATGATGATGATGATGATGATGATGATGAGAGATGAGGATGAGATGATGAGGATGATGATGATGATGAGGTGATGGATGACGATGATGGTGGTGATGATGATGCTGATGATGATGATGCTGATGATGATGATGCTGATGATAATGGTGATGGTGATGGTGGTGATGGTGAGGGTGATGGTGATGATGATGATGATGATGATGATGATGATGATGATGATGATGATGATGATGATGATGATGATGATGATGAGTGGTGGAAGTGATGATGATGATGATGATGCTGATGATGAGGAGGAGGAGGAGAGGATGAGGATGAGGATGAGGATGAGGAGGAGGATGAGGAGGAGGAGGAGGAGGAGGAGGAGGAGGAGGAGGAGGAGGAGGAGGAGGAGGGGGGGGGGAATAGGATAGTGGGGAGGAGAAAGAGGATGAGGAGGATGAGGAGGAGAAGGAGGAGGAGGAGGAGGAGGAGGAGGAGGAGGAGGAGGACCCGTTAAACCCAACATTCATCGACGACGTTGGAATAGTCCCTCCTCCCGAGCTCCCTCTTCACAGTCCCCTACAATGCTTCATGTCCACTGAAGGAAGTGCTTGGTTGACAGGCACTCACTTGAAGATCATGAAGCGTGCCCAGGAAGCATTCTCGGCACTTCATCGCGACGAGTGAACCTGACTGTTGCGTCTTGACGATCATGAATCGTGCGGGAGCATTCTCGGGACTTCAACACCGCCAATCAGCGTAAGTGTTGCGCCCTGGCAGTCCTGAGCCGTTCCCATACGCCGTTGCTGGTGCGCTAGCCATGGGAACCCGTGACACTCTTGCAAGCTTTTCATACGAGTGCGCGCGGCGCTAAGGCGATAACCACATTTTGAAAAGAAGCTGCCCTCAATCCGTGACGCTCCTTGCTCATTTTTTAGAAGACTGTGCGCGGCGTTGAAGCGAGAGCCACATTTTGAAAGCGACCCGCCCTCAATCCGTGAAGCGTTTACAATTTTTCCCAACCATCCTGTGGTGTTAGGTTTTCGTTTTGAAGAAACAGCGGGCCGCATCCTTCCAGTCTTCCTTCCTTCCTCCTCCCCCCTCCTCCTGCCTCCCTCCTCCCTCCCCTTGCCTCTGCTCTCATGTGTACGAGTTTCCCCCAAACCAGTATAACGTTTCGTCGCCCCATAGGGAGCTCCACTTAAGGCCCCAGTGGCAACGCCCGCATGCGTCCCCCCGCCCAGTACAGCGTTTCGTGGCCCCATAGGGATATCCACCGAAGGGCCCGGTGGCACCGCCCGCATGCGTCACCCCCGCCCAGTACAGCGTTTCGTGGCCCCATAGGGAGCTTCACCGAAGGCCCCACTGGCGATGTTCGCATGCGTTTGCCCTCACCCAGTAAAGCGTTTCGTGGCCCCATAGGGAGCTCCACCGAAGGCCTCAGTGGCACCGCTCGCATGCGTCACCCCCGACCAGTGCAGCGGTTCGTGGCCCATGGGGATATCCACCGAAGGGCCCAGTGGCACCGCCCGCATGCGTCGGGAGCTCCTTCGAATGCCCCAGTGGCGCCGCCGCATGCGCCCTACGCCACCCAGTACAGCGGTTCGTGGCCCCATAGGGAGCTTCGCCGAAGGCCCCAGTGGCACCGCCCGCATGCGTCACCCCATGCCCGTGCAGCGCGTCGTAGCCCCATAGGGGGATCCACCGAAGGCTCCAGTGGCACCGCCCGCATGCGTCACCCCCACCCAGGGCAGCGCTTTGTGGCCCCATCTGGAGCCCCACCGAAGGCTCCAGTGGCTGTGCTCGCAGTCGGTTCCCTTCACCCAGTACAGCGTTTTGTGGCCCCAGAGGGAGCTTCACCGAAGGCCTCAGCGGCGGTGTTCCCGCAGACGTCACCCCCCGCCCAGTACAGAGCTAGCTTCGCCGAAGGCCCCGGTGGCGTTGTTCGCATGCGGCTCCCCCACCTAGTGCAGCGTTTCGTGTCCCCATAAGGAGTTCGCCTCACTGGCGGTGTTCGCATGCGATTCTCCCGCCCAGTACAGAGCTTCGTGGCCCCATAGGGAGCTTCACCGAAGGCCCCACTGGCGATGTTCGCATGCGTGTCCCTCACCCAGTACAGCGGTTCGTGGCCCCATAGGGAGCTCCACCGAAGGCGTCAGTGGCTGTGTTCGCATGCGGTTGCCCTCACCCAGTACAGCGTTTCGTGGCCCCATAGGGAGCTTCACCGAAGGCCCCACTGGCGATGTTCGCATGCGGTTGCCCTCACCCAGTACAGCGCTTCGCGGCTCCATAGGGAGCTCCACCGAAGGCCCCAGTGGCGGCGCCGCCCCATTGCGGCGCACCCTTCGCACGTTCCGAAGGCACCATAGTGGATCCCACCTAAAACCCCAATGGAAACGCCCACACGGCGGCCCCGCCCCATGTTGGTAACCCTTCGCATGCTTCATGGCCCCACGAGATCCCACCAGGACGATACCCACAATGACGGCCTTCACAACAGCATATGGCTGGGTCCTTCGCCAGGAAGATTTACGACGAATGTGCGCGGCGCCAAGGCGAAAACCACATTTTGAAAGCGACCCGCCCTCAATCCGTGAAACTCGTGCAACTTGTTAGACGAGTATGCGCGGCTCTATCGCGAGAGCCACCTGTTGAAAACCAACCGCCCTCAATTCGTGAAGCCCTTGCGAATCTCTGAAGCTAGTGCGCGTCACTGAGGCGAGAGCCACATTTTGAAAAGGAACCGCCCTCAAGCTGTGAAGCTCCTGCATCTTTTTACATCGAAGGTGCGCGGTGCCAAGGCGAGATCCACATGTTAAAAGCCACCCGCCCTCAATGTGTGAACTTGTTATCACATGTTTAACGGCAGGGCCATCCGTGGTACGGACGTCTCATGCGAAAGGTCCAGCCCGCCCTTTCGACCGGCCTCAGGGTGTGGCAGGAAGGAATTAGACGGAAAAGAAGTGGAGGAGGAGACGGAGGAGGAGGAGGAGGATGAGGAGGAGGGAGGAGGAGGAAGAAGAGGAGGAGGCGGAGGAGGAGGAGGAGGAGGAAGTGGAGGAGGAGAAGGAGGGGGAGGAGGGTGGCGAGGAGGAGGAGGAGGAGGACGAGGAGGACGAGAGACGAGAAGGAGGGAGGGGTTGTTTATCAGCAAGACAGCTGGAGGAGGAGGAGGATGAGGAGGAGGATGAGGAGGAGGAGGATGAGGCTGAGGAGGACCACAGCGAGACCGCCGCGTTCCAAGCCCGCGCCCCGCTGGGCCCCACCGCCGCTGCGTGGGGGTCCCCGCGGACGAGGGGACGTCCTTCGCTGTGGTTCCCGCCGTATTGGACAGCTCAAGGCCGCAGGGTCGTCGTCGTCGTTGTCGTCGTCGTCGTCGTCGTCGTCGTCGTCGTCGTCGTCGTCGTCGTCTTGGTCGTCGTCGTCGTCGTCGTCGTCGTCGTCGTCTTGGTCGTCGTCGTCGTCGTCTTGGCCGTCGTCGTCGTCGTCTTGGTCGTCGTTGTCGTCGTCGTCGTCGTCGTCGTCGCACTCCCATGCGCGCGGGGGGGTGAGCGGAGGAGGAGGAGGAGGCGGAGGAGGAGGAGGAGGAGGAGAAGGAGGAGGAGGAAGAGGGGAAGGAGGAGCAGGCGGAAGGGGGGGCGGGGGTGAGGGTGGGGGTCAAGACCCCCTCCCCGCCCGCAAGCCGTCTCGCTCACTCCCACCCGCCCTCCCAACACACACGTAGCACCCGAGTCTGGCCCGAGCCTGAGCATTTTCAGCAGTCGTCTTTGGATGGGCAGCTACTGGGGGCCAATCCGCCGCCGCCGCTGCCTCCGCCGCCGCCGCCGCCGCCGCCGCCGCCGCTGCCCGCCGCCGCCGCCTGTCGCCGCCGCCGCCGCCGCCGCCCCCCGCTGCAAAACCGCCGCCGCCGCAGCCGCTGCCGCCACTGCCACCGCCACCGCCGCGCCGCCGCCGCCGCAGCCGCCGCAGCCGCCGTAGCCGCCGCAGCCGCCGCCGCCGCAGCCGCCGCCGCAGCCGCCGCCGCAACCGCCGCCGCCGCCGCCAAGTGTACAATGTATTGTTTTTTTTTTCTTGACAGGGATGGAGGGGGGGGGGCGCATCGGGTTGGCTGCGCATGTTCCGAATTTGGAGGCCGAGTGTGGTTTGCATTGTTTTTTGCAAGGAATGGTGTGGGGGGGTGTCGTCATGGACCCTGGTTGGCCCCCAGTCGCCTGGGGGAGGGGGTGTTTATTGATAGGGAACAGTGATGGAGGATGAGGAGGATGAGGAGGATAAGGAGGAGGAGGCGGAGGAGGGGGAGGAGGAGGAGAAGGAGGAGGAGGAGGAGGAGGAGGAGGACCAGTGTAACCGAAAGACGCAACAACGATGTTGCAATTGCCCTTCCTTCCGAGCTCCCCCCTGGTAAGTCCTTATACGAATGCATGTGCAGTGCGGTAAGTGGCCCATTAGAAGACAGCCGTTTGAGAATCCCCAGTCGTGCCAGCACGCAATGTCTCGAATATCAGTGGCGCGGAGCAAAGTGACTGTTGCGTCCTGAATCGTGCCTGAGCACCATTCCTGGGACTTCGGCACCGCGAATCAGCGTGACTGTTGCGTCCTGGCAATCATGCCAGAACACTATTCCAGGTGCTGCAATTATACGACTCCTTGAATCTGCTGCAAATGTTTGAGACGAGTGTGCGCGGCGCAAAGGCGAGAGTCACATTTTGAAAACGACCTGTCCTACATCGTTGAATGTATTACACATCTCAAGTTGTCACAGGGCTATAAATGGTGAGGGCGCCTGAGACGAAACGCCCTGCCCGCCCTTCCTGACACGCTGTCGGGTGCGACAGGGAGGAGTTATTTAGAAGGAGGAGGGATAATGGAGGGCGGAGGAGGAGGCGGAGAATGAGAAGGAGAGGCGGAACACCGGGGAGCCGGGGAAGGAGGAGGCGAAGGAGGGATGTGAAAGCGGAGGAGCCCCCTTTCTCCCTCCCACCCTCGCCTTGCATTTCATGCCCTACGGATCCGACGCCCCGCTCTGTGTTAGCACGCGGGGCTCTGGAACTCTCGACTCCACCGCTCGCACGGGTGTCGACCCGTGGCTTGCTTTTTGGTTGAGTTCAGGGGCTCGAAACGGAGGCCCAGGGAGGAGAACGGAGGAGGAGACGACGGCGACGATGACGATGCCGAACGACGCCCGCGCCCACGCGCGCCGCCGCCCACAGGAGGCCCGAAACCGAACACACCTCGGCCGTCCCGAATCTTTCAGGACGCCCACCTAGGGCCCACTCGTCCTTCCCAATGTCGGCCATGCGACACACGAATTCCGGCTGGGGCAGTGAACACACGGCATGCCGAAAGTTCGCGTCGCGTCGACGCTGCAGCGACCCCGGCGCGGGCGTTCCAGGTTGAACGCCCCTTGTGGCCCAGGATCGGCCGACATCGAACGATCTGCGCGATCGAGCAGCCGCGATCCTTTGAGGCTGAACGATCCACAACGCGCAGGTCATCACGACAGGAGGATGAGGAGGAGGAGGAGGAGGAGGAGGAGGAGGAGGAGGAGGAGGAGGAGGAGGAGGCGGAGAAGGACGAGGAGGAGGAGGAGGAGGAGGAGGGAGGAGGAGGAGGAGGAGGAGGAAGGAGGAGGAGGAGGAGGAGGAGTGAGGAGGAGGAGGAGGAGGAGGAGGAGGAGGAGGAGGAGGAGGAGGAGGAGGAGAGGAGGAGGAGGAGGAGGAGGAGGGAGAGGAGGAGGAGGAGGAGGAGGAGGAGGAGGAGGAGGAGAAGAAGCCATCACGACAAGAACCTGCCGTAACAGTTTTTTCGCAGTGCTGCGCCACACCCTCCTCTGCACTCCAATCCACTCGCCTCCTGGGGCGCTTCGCCACCCCAGCCAGCGGGCGTCTCGAGTTTGCTTGAGAGATGGGCTCCCGCCGCGGGATCCGTCGTTGCGAAAAGAATGAAGATCCGTAGACAAGTCACGACCGGCATTCTCCTCCTCCTCCTCCTTCTCCTCCTCCTCGTCCTCCTCCTCCTCCTCCTCCTCCTCCTCCTCCTCGAGAACTAGTTCTCGCGTGCCCGGCTGCTTCCGTGTGGGACGTTCGCGTGACCTCGTTCCTTCTTCTCGCTGCCGCTGCTGCTTGCGCGCCCTCTCCCCTGCGGTGGAGTGTCGCTCGTCCTCCTCCTCCTCCTCCTTCCTCCCCCTCCTCCTTTTCCTCCTCCTCCTCCTCCTCCTCCTCCTCCTCCTCCTCCTCCTCCTCAACTCACCTCCTCCTCTCGCCCGCTGCCTCGCGCCCTCTCCCCTGCGGTGGAGTGTCGCTCGTCCTCCTCCTCCTCCTCCTTCCCCCCCTCCTCCTCCTCCTCCTCCTCCTTCATTCCTCTCCTACCCTCCTCCTCCTCTCCTCCTCCTCCTCCTTCCTCCGCCTCCTCCTCCTCCTCCTCACTCTCCTCCTTCTCCTCCTCCTCCTCCTCCTCCTCCTCCTCCTCCTCCTCTTCCTTCCTGGGTGCAGATGATGAGCTGCCATCTGACGCGGAATGGGACTTCTCCCTGACCCTGGTGTTCAGGAGCTTCTGGATGATGGGCCTGTGTTCCGCGAGCTCCTCGCGGCCGAGGACGCGATGCTGTGCGACATGGAAGACGAGGGCGACCTTACACTCGGCAGCCAGGTGCTTGTTGACGCCTCGCTCCAGTCGGGTCCTCTGCCTCATCCTGCCGAAGCTCCTGCTGGTACCTCCGTGGCAGGCGAGGGCGCCTTCCCAGACCAGACGCCCTTCGACCCCATGGCGCACGAGGCGCTCGGCGGTGCCGACGACGCTTCTCCTTCTGCAGCCTTCCTCGACTACGACCCCGTTGACAGCGTCGTCGGCGATGGAGACGTGCTCATGCTGAGCTGCGACGGTGTCGCCATCACGGACTTTGAGTCCGTCGGGGACGCCCATCCCGACCTCACCCTGAGCTGCTCCGAGCAGCTCGACAACGCTGCCGGCAGCTCGGTCGGCCTTCTCGCCGACGCCAGCGGCTCCCTGGACTACTTCAACTTGAGCCTGAGGCTCGGCGCAGGCGCGCCCGCGGCGTCGGTAGGCGGGGAGTGACCATCGCCAGGGACGCTCGCTCCTCCTCCTCCTCCTCCTTCTCCTCCTCCTCTTCCTCCTCCTCCTCATCCTCCTCCTCCATTCGTGTTCCTTATTCATAATTTCTCCTTATCGCACCCCGAGGCCAGTCTTTAGGGCGGGCCAGGCCGGGCGTTTCGCCTGAGACATCTTCACTATTTATAACCCTGAAGCTTTTAAACCGGCAACACCTTCACATATGTAGGGCGGGTAGTTTTCAAAATGTGGCTCTCGCCCTAGCGCGGCGCACATTCGTTTTACAACGATTACAATATATTCGCGGATTAAGGGCGGGCCGTTTTCAAAATGTGGCTCTCGCCTTAGTGCGGCGCACATTCGTTTTAAACTTTGCAAGAGTTTACGGATTGAGGGCGAGTGGTTTTCAAAATGCGGCTCTCGGTTTAGCGCCGCGCACACTCGTTGTAAACATTTGCAAGAGCTTCACGGATTGAGGGCGGGTCGTTCTCAAAATGTGGCTCTCGCTCTAGCGCGGCGCACCTTCGTTTTCCACCAATTGCAAGAGCTTCGCGGATTGAGGGCGGGCCGTTTTCAAAATGTGGCTCTCGCCATCGCGCGGCGCACATTCGTTGTAAAACTTTGAAAGGGTTTCACGGATTGAGGGCGGGTCGTTTTCAAAATGTGGCTCTCGCCCTTGCGCGGCGCGCATTCGTTGTAAACTTTTGGGAGACTTTGCGGATTGAGTGCGGGCCGTTTTCAAAATGTGGCTCTCGCCTTGGCGCCGCGCACATTCGTTTCACAACAACGCGCCCTCGGTGGAGCTCCCGCGGGGCCGCGATCCTCTTGAGGGGTGTGCCGAAGTGGCCCGCGGCCGCCGTGCGAACCCTGCCGCTGGCGCCTTCGGTGGAGCTCCTATGGGGCCACGATCCTCGTGACGGGTGTGCCGAACTGGCCCGAGGCCGCCGTGCGAACCCTGCCACTGGCGCCTTCGGTGGAGCTCCTCTGGGGCCGCGATCCTCGTGAGGGGTGTGTCGAAATGGCCCGAGGCCGCCGTGCGAACCTTGCCAGTGGGCCTTCGGTGGAGCTCCTCTGGGGCCACGATCCTCGCGAGGGGTGTGCCGAAATGGCCCGAGGCCGCCATGCGAGCTCTGCCACCGGCGCCTTCGGTGGAGCCTTTATGGGGCCGCGATCCTCGTGAGGGGTGTGCCGAAATGGCCCGGGGCTGCCATGCGAACCCTGCCAGTGGGGCCTTCGGTGGAGCTCCTATGGGGCCGCGATCCTCGTGAGGGATGTGCTGAAATTGCCCGAGGCCGCCATGCAAACCCTGCCAGTGGGGCCTTCGGTGGGGCTCCCTATGGGGCCGTGATCCTCGTGACGGGTGTGCCGACATGGCCCGAGGCCGCCGTGCGAACCGTGCCAATGGCGCCTTCGGTGGAGCTCCTATGGGGCTACGAGGCGTTGTACTGGGTGGGTGAAACGCAGGTAGGCGGGGGGGAGGGAGGAGGGGGAGGAGGATAGGAGGAGGAGGAACGCGGGGCACGTCTCTTTCAAAACGAGGACCCAACGCCACATGATGGTTGGGAAAAAGTTGCAGCGCCCGGCTCTTGATGCGGATCTCTCGACCCCTTCCCCGGTGCCGCTAGGCGTAAGTCGGGCGCGCCTCTACAGGAGGAAAACTCAAAACATGCCACAACTAATCAGGGGACGTTTTGTTTTGCTTTGTGTGTGTGTGTTTGTGTATAAACATGTTTTCATGTTTAGCATAAAATATAATATAAGAATAGGTACCCGCCTGTATGGGGTCATATGCCCGACCTAAGGCTAGGCCTACCACGAGGGTGCGAAGTTAGTCGCGCGTCGCGCTTCGCGTCCAGGGCGATCTCAGAGCGAGGCGCGAGTCCTTCGTCCTGCTCCGGAGAGGAGGAGGAGGAGGAGGAGGAGGAGGAGGAGGAGGAGGAGGAGGAGGAGGAGGAGGAGGAGGAGGAGGAGGAGGAGGAGGAGGAGGAGGAGGAGGAGGAGGAGGAGGAGGAGGAGGAGGAGGAGGAGGAGGAGGAGGAGGAGGAGAGGAGGAGGAGGAGGAGGAGGACGAGGAGGAGGAGGAGGAGGGTCGCTCCTGCGCGTAGCCGATGGAATTTCCAGGGGTGCGAGTCGACGAGAGCTCCGCGGGGAGCCTCAGCCACTGGCGACGGGAGGCCCCCAGAAGGACCCCCAGGACTGGTCAGGTCCTCCCCCTCAGAACTCGATCCTCTCCGAGCCTCCTCGATCCCCCCCCCCCCCCCCCCGACGTCATGTTTTTTTCTTTTTGTCGTCTTCGTGACGTCGACCCCCAGGGATATCGCCCCATGTCCTGGGGCGGGTGTTCATCCGGAGTCGTTTCTTGGCGCTCCTGGGGCTTGCCGAGGGCCCCCCCCAGGGGCCGAAAACGGCCAACAACCTGCCGCCTTTTTTCTTCACGACGCGCGGGGTCTGGGATCCTCTAGCCGCGTCGACGCCCCGCACCCGGGGCGAGGCTGGCGCAGTACGACGCCTCGGTGGAGCTGTGGCGCGACGTGCTGCAGATGCTGCACATGCTCATGGAGCTGCTTCGGCTCCCTAGGGCTGCCCTCCGCCCCCCCCCCCCTTGTCAGGGGCAACGGTAGGGGGGGGGGGGGATAGGCGCGGTGGGGGATGCATCGGCCCCCCATCGCCCATTGATCGCCGAAAAGGGGGCCCGATAGCCCCAACCTGCCCAGGGACGCGCGGACTGACTGTCGGGGGCCCACTGCCGATGAATCGGCGATGCATCGCCGACTCCAGGCCGACTTTCCCCCCCCTGTGCCTATCCCTCCCTAGGGGTGCCCTCACTCTGCCCTGCCTGTGCCTATCCCTCCCTGACGATGCCCTCGCTTTGCCCCTCCCCAGACCGCCTCGCGTCGTGGCAGAACCACTGCATGAGGCTTCTCGCTGTTCTGGGCGGCCTGGGGGCCCTTCCCGGGCCCCGGGGCCGTCCACAAGCAGGGCCAGCACGAGACATCGGTCCCCTGAAAGGAGTCCAGGGCCACTGGGGGTCGACGTCGTGAAGAACTCATGGCGGGGGGGGGATCTGGGTCTGCTGCTGCTGCTGCTGCTGCTGCTGCTGCTGCTGCTTGCTGCTGCTGCTGTTCTGCCGTTCGTTCCTCAGATCCCCAGAGGCTCGAAGATTTGGGTCTGAGCCCTCGCGCAGGGCTCGAGCGGGATGGTGTTTTGGCGACTCCGTAGGCCGTTCTCGTTTTGATCCCGTTTCGCAGCAGAGGCAGAGGGAAGAGAGAACGAAGGAACATGACATCAAAAGCGAAAACAAAATACCCACTGTTCAGCTCGTGCCTTGCTCCCGATGGGGCATCTTCGGCTTGTGGAGGCCCGTCTCCAGGGTCCAGGATCGGCAGACGACGGCTCAGGGTGGAGAGCCAGTCCCGGGGTAAGGGATCGACAGGTCCAGGGCCAGGGCTCGAGCGAGACGGTGTTTTTTGGCGAGATCTTTGGCCGTTGTTCTTTTGATTTCGTTTTGCACCAAAGGCGGAACAAAACATAACGAGGTATAACGAAAAAATATAAAATTAGCCCGGCGAAGGACCCAACCATATGCAGCTGTGAATACCGCAATTGTGAATACCATCTTCGCCCGCGCTCCTTATGTGGCCACGGTTTCCCGCCGGAGCCCGACATGCTCAGGGACGCGTGCGTGGCCGTCTTCGCGGGCGCCGACGACGACAAGGATGGCGCCCCTCTGACCGAGGAGCAGAAGCAGGAGAGGGCTTTGAGAGCCATGATGGAGGAGGTGGCGTTGCACGTCGACAAGGCGGAGTACGACATGCGAACCCTGCCATTGGGGCCCAGCTCCTTACGGGGCCACGATCCTCGTGAGGGGTGCGCCGAAGTGCCCCGAGACCGCCATGCGAACCCTGCCGCCGGCGCCTTCGATGGAGCTCCTATGGGGCCACGATCCTCGTGAAGGGTGTGCCGCCCGAGGCCGCTGTGCGAACCCTGCCACTGGCGCCTTCGATGGAGCTCCTATGGGGCCACGATCCTCGTGAGGGGTGTGCCGAAATGGCCCGAGGCCACCATGCGAACCCTGCCGCTGGCGCCTTCGGTGGAGCTCCCTACGGGGCCGCGATCCTCGTGAGGGGTGTGCCGAAATGGCCCGAGGCCGCCGTGCGAACCCGACCACTGGAGCCTTCGGTGGAGCTCCCTATGGGGCCACGATCCTCGTGAGGGGTGTGCCGAAATGGCAGGGGGCCGCCATGCGAACCCTGCCGCTGGAGGCCTTCGCTGGAGCTCCCTATGTGGCCACGATCCTCGTGAGGGGTGTGCCGAAATGGCCCGAGGCCGCCATGCGAACCCTGCCACTGGGACCTTCGGTGGAGCTTCCTTTTGGGCCACGATCGTCGTGAGGGGTGTGCCGAAATGGCCCGAGGCCGCCATGCGAACCCTGCCGCTGGAGCCTTCGCTGGAGCTCCCTATGGTGCCGCGATCCTCGTGGGGGGTGTGCCGAAATGGCCCGAGGCCGCCATGCGAACCCTGCCACTCGGGCCTTCGGTGGAGCTCCCTATGGGGCCACGAAGCGCTGTACTGGGTGGGTCAAACGCAGGGAAGAGGGGGGGAGGGAGGAGGAGGGAAGAGGGGGATGGGGGCAAGGGGAGGAGGAGGTGACGCGGTGATCGTTTCTCCAAAACGAGGACCCAACAACACAGGTTGGTTGGGAACAGTGGAGGAAAACGCTGTTTAGCTCGAGCCCTGTCCAGGGCTCCGAACCTCGAACATGTCCAGCTGCCTGCGGCAAGTCCCCACAGAGCGCAGCCCAGCACCCCAGGTGGCGATTTGTTCGAGGAACGCACAGGATGTTGTAATGCGTGACAATTTGTGCCCCGAGGCCTGGGAGAGCCGTACGATGGGGCACCCTCTTTCGCGTCGTGTCGGAGTTCCGCGTCGTGTCGGGATGTCTCTCTCTCTCTCTCTCTGTCTCTCTCTCTCTCTCTCTTTGTGGCCGTCGTTGTCTTCCTCCCTTCTCTTCTGCCTTCCTCTCCTCTTGGGCTCTTGGGTCCTTTTGGGGGCCTCTCGGGGGCCCCCTCGGGGCTCTTGGGAGCTCCTCGGGCGCTCTTGGGCAGTCTGATGCCTTCCGAGTCCATCTTGGGGGCATCTCGGGACAGTCTTTGGCCCCTCTTGGGGCCCTGGAAGGTCGTCAGAGGCCTGGGCACCGGAATTCGAACATAACAAGCACCACACCCTGGCGGCAGAAGGCGTTAAACAGCATACTTCGCACCGTGCAGAGCATGATACCGCACTGCGCACGCGGGAGGTCGTGCGGGATAGCATGCGCGAGACCATACCAGAGGGCATACGGTAGGCCATACGAGGGACCACACGGGAGACCGAACGGGATACCACACGGTCTCAACACGGGAGACCATTCGGAAGTCCACACGAGAGACCATCAATCGAGTCATTGGCTCCGTGGCCAGCGGTGGCCCCGCGGCCCCTCCCACGAGACAAACAGTCTGGGGCCCATCGAGCCTTCGCGGAGGTCCGGGCTCCTCCCTGGCCCTTGCAGGCCCTCGCTCCCAGAGGTCCGCGCGGACTTTTGGGTCGACGCCAGGCCCAGCGTCGACCATACCCCGTGGACACCGACGCCGGATCACGATAGGGATCCCGAAGAGGAGGGTTGTGCCCCAGGGGGGGTGCGAGTTCGATTGGTTTTTGCACCGAGCCGCCCAAAGCGGATGCCCCCCCGCCGCCGGCAGCTCCCGACCGTTGCCGACAGGTGGGGCGTGCGGGGGGCATCTGCTTGCGGCAGCTCGGTGCACCAGCGGACCGCACTCACGCCCCCCCCCTCAGGGTCCCCCCCTCCTTCGGGTGGCTCCCGACACGAGCACCTTCTCCGTACGCGGTCCCCTCCAAGTAGCCTTCACACGCCGACTTCGACAAGGGTTCCCGAGGGCTCCGGCCCGCCCGCGCTGGCCCCGCGGGCACCGTCTCTCGGCGCGGACCCTGGCGCGCTCGCTCGCTGCTTGGGTCCGCGCCCGGCCCAGGCTTGCGGGGGATGGACCTTCTCAGTGTCAGTGTTGTTTTCCAAAGTCGCCCTGCGGGAGCCGTCTTCGGGCCCCAGGACGGCCCCCCAAAGCAGTTCCTGGATGAGGAGTTGCCCACTGGGAGGGACGTAGATTCATAGAAACACGTCGTCGGAAGTCTCGAGAAGTCCCCAGCCCCTGGCGACGCTTCGGGCGCGTGCTTCCGGTGCCGCCCCCAGCGCGCTCCTCAGGGGCTCGGAAACCATGGCAGTGCAAGCGAGGACTTTGCAACTTCCACTTGGGCGCAAGACATGTGCGCCGACTTTTGAATGTTTGTGGCCGTGCCTCCGCTTGTTTCCCCGGCAGCATGGTTTACCTCTCTAGAGCTTCAGACCTGCCAGCTCTCGCGTCGCGCACGGCGCACACACGCTATCTTCTGTCTGGAAGGGGGGGCCTTCGCGGGGGCGGCGGAGTCAGCTCAGCGGGAGCGTCGGTGGCGCAGCGGCTTCGGCTTCGGGCGGCCTGGAGGGGACGCGTAGGGCTCACCCACAGGGTGACCCCTTTCTGCACGCACTCGCCCACACTCTTTTCCTTTGGAGCCCCGATGGAGGGCAATCAGCGGTTCGAGTGAAACAGCACACACACACACACACACCCTGCGCTGAGTGCCCTCCATCGGGGGGCGCTTCACTTGAACCGCACGGCGAGGCACAACGTTCGCATGTGCCCCGAACCGGTTGCGCTCCATCGGGGGACGGTGTTTGCTTCACCCACCCTTCGCAAGGCACACTGCACGCCACCCTGCCTGCGAAGGAAGGTGGCCAGCCACAGGCTGCCGACCGTGGCGCCTCGCGCGGCTGCGCAGGGCGGCGCCCCAAGGCGGGCACAGGCCCGCCTGCTCTCTGGGGCCGCTCTCTCTGGGAAGGGGTGGCGACCCCCCCGTGGCATTGTCATCCTCCCAGCCATCGCCGCTTTCCCGCGGGGCTCCTGGCTTGCCCAGCGGCTCTGCGATTCCGCTTGTGGCTGAGGCCGAGGAGCTGTGGCGGTCGCTTCGGATGTTGATCTACGGTCGGCTCTGACTTCAATCTGGCCGGTGCGCGTTTCCATTCACGCTTGACCTTGACCTTCACAGAGCTTCTCTGGGGTCGCCGTTCCTTGCGATCGCCGCTTTCCCGCGGGACACCCGGGTTGCCCGGCGACTCGTTGATCTGAGCTGCCGCTGAGGCCGAGGATCTGCGGTCGCCCCACTCCCCGCACAGGAGCAGGGCTACTGGCCGGCCAAGGCGAACAGCCGGGTCCTCTCCTTGTTCTGGCCCGCGCCTAAGGCGACCCAGGTCCATCGACAAGCGCGCGGTCGGGGAGGAGGAGGAGGAGGAGGAGGAGGAGGAGGAGGAGGAGGAGGAGGAGGAGGAGGAAGAAGGAGAAGAAGGAGGAGGAGGAGGTTGAGGAGAAGGAGGAGGAGGAGGAGGAGGAGAAGGAGGAGGAAGAGGAGAGAGGAGAGAGGAGAGAGGAGAGAGGAGAGAGGAGAGAGGAGGCGGCCTGCTCGGTCCTCGAACGTCGAGGCTCCTCCTCCTCGGTCCTCGTTCTTGGGCCTTACTGGGAGGTCCGCGCAGCAGCGCTTTTTCAAGGGGATCATCATCGGCGCGAAGGTGCCAGAGGTCGTGAGGCTGACCAACGAGGCGGTGGGTGCCAACTCCATGCCGCCCTCCGTGTCCCTCGCTCGTCGATGTCGTCGTCCTCCTCCTCCTCCTCCTCCTCCTCATGCTCCTGCTCGTACCTTTCTCGCCATCAGGAGTTGAACAGGGCAGCCCCAGCAATTTTACAAAACAGCACAATGGCGGGGGGCACTGCCGTCCCGCAGACACTCTCCCCAGTCCCCCTTTCGGTACGACTCCCGCCACCACTGTTCGGGAGCAGATAATCCCTCTTGGGATTGGAATGGGCATCGTCGAGAAAGGCCGCGGGAGGTACGAACGCAACGGAAGCGGATCTGGTTTTAGGCCCGCGTGGGTCCCATTTGGGGTTCGATCTGTGTTGGGATGGAGCAGCTCTCCGTCCGCGCGGATCTGCCCTCGCCTTGTCCACGGTCCGATCTCCATGCCGTGCATTCACGCCGACCTCTGCGTGTTGCTTCCGCGGGGCACGGGGCGGAGATCAGACCGGAGGGCTTCCGGTCCCAGGGGAGCAGTCGTCCCCCCCGTCGCGTGTTTTGGGCTGCGTGTGTGTGTGTGTGTGTGTGTGTGAGGGGGGCGAATCGTATATTCTGTTTGCGTCGGCAAGGCAAAGCAGGGGGTGACTGCGCTGGCGACGCGAGGCATCGAGCGGGGGCTGCCGTGGGAGCGAGGCGTGCCGCCATGCAGGCGGGAGGAGGGAGGAGGGACGCGGCCGAAGGAGAGCAGAGGGCGAAGACACTAGCCAACCCCTGTCGCCTGCGTTTCGGGGTTGGTGCCTTCTCCCCCCCCCCCTGTTCTGGACCGCGCGTGGCCCGCGGAGAGGCCGTGCCGGGTCCCGTGCCAGACTGCGTCTGGGCCCGCGAAGGCGTGTCGCGCCCAGATCGGGGGCGCCGTTGCCCCAGCGACCCCAGGGAGTGGCACTGCTCGCCGCCAGACATGTTCGCTTCGTTGAGAGGCCACGGCGGGAGGTTCTGGCAGTTTTCGGCTTCCGGCGGCTCGCGCCTGGCACCAGGGCCGTCCAACAACGACTCGCGATGAAACGCTGGCCCTGGGGACGTCGTGTTCCTCGGTGAACTCCTGCATCAGTCTCGAGGGCAGGATTGCCTACCGCTTGCCTTGCTGTAATTGATATTTCGCATGCGTTTTTGAGTGGTTTCTGATGCGAGCCGATATATGTATATTCAGTTCTGATATCATATGTATGGTATTTGAATCCCTCCTCGTCTATCCTCTTCCCTCCTACCTCCTCCTCGTGCTCCTTCTGCCTCCGCCTCTGTACCTGCCTCCATCTCTCATGCCTATTCGATTCACCTCTGATCCCTTCCTTGTCGTGGTCGTTTTTGTCTTCGTTGTCTTCCGCGTTTTCTTCTTTCCCCTCTTTCCTCTGCGTCCTCCCCTGTCTCTGCCTGTCTCAGATTCCTTGCGGTCTCGATGGTAGCCTCCGTCTCGGACTAATCAGGTTTTGGACTGGACTCCAGCAGTCTACATCCTGGCCTCTGGTCGTTGTCCTGGTTTCCTTCATTTGGATTCTTTCAGGGGAGGCAGGAAAAGGGGGAGATAATGAGGAGGAGAAGGACGACGGAGCCCACCGAGCCAGCACACGCAGCACCACCTACTCCACCAAGTCCATCTGCCCCTCTCCACTTTTGGGGACATGCCTCTTACGCAGCAATTCGGACCCCAATTGCCGATGCCTCAGACCTCGGCAGCGACGCCGACAACAGTGAGGGCGACAAGGCTCCGACTCGAACATTCTACCTTGCGTCGCAACCACCTCGATGCAGGTGCGACATGCATTGCCCCGACGGGTGGACGGCGCGCAGTGCTAGGGATGCCGAGGACGACGGCTACGACGGCGACCTATGGCAATATGCCGTCGACTACCACGAACAAACCAACACCTAGAGCAACCGCTCTCCCAGCGACTGCCTCCTCCTACCAGGCTGGCGCAGATACTTGGGCACGTGCACCAGGGTGACGCTCATCCATGCGGGCTCGCGGCAATGCCGACCGCGCCCACCATTGCGGCCCGATCCCCGCGCGCTTCCATGATCGACCTTTCAGCTACCACTGACGGTGCCCACCAAGTACCTGACACTTCAGAACGAGATACTTGCAGATGACCACCTGCCACTTGGCAAACCCAAGCCAAGAGAATATACGCAGCTCCGACTCGGAAACGACCTAGCAGCCTGTGCGAACCACTACCGCTCCAAACGAGGACACGAGGACTTCAGGCTAGCAGTAATTATTACCAACAGGTACACCACTACACTGATCACAGGCCCTACATTGACGGTGACCGACCAAATAACGCAAGCCGTACTCGTCGTCCCTCTATGGCTCACCTCCCGCCGCAGCTGCGACGACGACATGGGGTGCCACTGGCTATTGCGCATGCATGACGCAGCATGGCTCCTGCAACAGGTCTGCAACCGTACGTCGGTCTGCAGCCCAGACCAATTTGAAAGACACGCGCCGACCCGCGCGACTCGAGCAACGAAGATGGCGAATCAACCGAGCCAAGCACCATACAGGACCGACGCGACATGCGCTCGACCGCTTCCACGTTTACGCCAGCACCATCCCCTACGACGCAACAGCCACAGCGCCGCGCACCAACCTACAACGAAACAGACGACACCGACGCAGCAACACCACAGGCACCACCTACAAACACCAACGTCAGAATGGTACCATTGGCGCGCATCATCAGAAGCCTTATGCACCCACTGTTACCCGACCTCTGGATTCCAATCGTTTGCCCGCCACCTGCATATGCGAGGGCACAGTTATGGCTTCACGACGTACCTTCTGCAGAGTTGGCACTCTAGATCCACGCCACCAGACAGGTATGCTTCCCGCCCATGGCGCCACCAAGCACGCGCCGCAGCCGTGCAAGGATCACACCGCAGGTCAATCCTGACCACCTGGGACGGATATTCGTCCACTGCCGAAGCGACCCGCGTTTTTCTCCACTAAGTAGCCACACTTCGGCGACGTCAAGCGCATTGCCAACGGCGCTTTGCTGAAGTACGTCTACCCAATCAGCGACACACTGGGCCTCTACGCCAACGAGAAGTTCATCTGGTACAGGCGCCGCGGGTCTTCAAAGCTCCGCCCGCGCCGAAGCCGAAGCAGACGCCGCAGACGAGTTAGGCGTGCCCGATCTTCATTTTCAGCGCATGCGCAAAAAATGTGATGGCATTCCGCGAGTTCCACGACAGCTACCTCATCTTCTTCGATTGCCGCAGAACGCTGGTTTCCGTTTTTCCTTCCATTCTCATTCTTTTCTACGCTGTACCTGGGCTCGCCCTGCTGTCGTCATCGTCTTTCCAGTCTTCCCTGCCTTCCTTCCTCACTTATAGGGCCCGTGTCGCCCAACCTGCCCACGAGTAAAGTTGATGGAGCACCTTCATCCCCCCGGGGGCCGTGCCCCACTGATCGCTGAGGACAGCGGATGCCCTGTGCATCCGCTGGCGGATGCATAGATCATCTGTTGTCTCTTTTTTTAGTTGGTCTACCTTTCCTGCTTCCCCGCTTTGCAGATCGCAGGTGCAGCAGAATTCTTTCGTGCACTGCCCAGTCGAATCCAGTTTTGGTCTCATCGCTGTCGTTGGCCTGGCCGTGCCGGCCTATCAAGATAGATTTGGGGGTTGGGTGGGCTGGGTGTGGCGTGGTAGTCGGTGGGGCTCATGTTGCTACATCTCCGCGCAGTGCCTCGGAGTTTTCTCACTTCGCTATTTCGTCATGGTAAGCTTTGCCAGTGCAGCTCCAGTATGCTCATAGTATAGTTACTTGTCTCCTCCACGCGCCTATTTTGCTTGACGCGCCTCCTGTCTAGTCACTTGCATGTCGGGCCCCCCTGACCCACGGGGCAGGGAAGGCCCCGCCGCTGCGCCAAACCGGCCAGCCTCTCAGGCCAGCTTCTGTTTCAGTGCTCACTTGCAGGCACGAGGCCACCATTGCACACAGCCCAATTTATTGTCCAGTTTTGCCTCTTCACTGCAACTGGTCTGGCTGCGCCGGCCTAACAGGACTTGGGGTTGAGAAGGCCTGGCCTCGTGACGGGTGGTGGTGAGGTAGAGAGGAGCTCCAGTTTGCTGTATCTCAGCAACGCATTTCGACTTCTCCACATTGCCTCTTGTGTTTTCTCAGTTTGCTGTATCATCCTGGTAGGGTCGCCAACTCAGTTTGCCCATTGCGTTCAAGCATCCGTGCTGCTCGCTCAGTCCTTCTCGTTTCGACATGTACATTTCGGGCCCCCCCGCCACTCAGGGCAGGGCGGGCCCCGCTGACTCGCCAGACAGGCCATATTACAGGCTGGCCTCATCACCAGTTTGCGTGCCAGTTTACAGACCATCATTGTAAGCTCACCATCTCTTTGCTGTTCCTGGCCTGCTTGCGACAACCTGACATAATAGACATGGGGATGAGTGGGTGCGGCTGGGCGGGTGGGGATGAGGTGGAGGAGGAACTTCAGATTCGACTTCTCCACGTAGCCTCTGGTGATTTCTAACTTCGCTGTATCATCCTGGTAGACTCGCCAGCCCAGTTTGCCCATTGCATTTAAGCCCGTCCAGGTCTATACTGCTCGCTCACTCCTTCTCGTTTCGCCATGTACCTTTCGGGGCCCCCTGCCCCTCAGGGCAGGGTGGCCCCCACTGCCCCGCCAGACGCGCCAGCCTTACAGGCCAGCCTCAGCACCAGTTTGCGTGCAAATCTACAGGCTATCCTTCTAAGCTCACCATCTCTTTACAGTTATTGGCCTGGCTGCAACAGCCTAAGTGAATAGCGCACTTTCTCTCCGTGCTTACTTCACCTACCTCCTATCTGTCTATAATACGGTGAAGGTGCTCCCTCCACCGAGGATCCGAAGAGCGGGCCTACTGCTGGCTAACAGGAGGCCTACCTCGGCCAGAGGTACCTCCACGCAGGTGTGAACTGGCCAGCCAATACCGACTTGGCCAGCCTCTTGTTTACATCATACCACATGTGCTGCGCGCCTGCACTTAAAGAGGGGGAGTGGGGGTGGGTATGCGTTGATGGGTTGGGAGATGGGATTGCAAGGTGCACCAGGCACTGCAGCTTCTGCGCCATCCTACCGTACCGCTCCTGTCGCCGATTTCTTTTGTTTTCGCACGCGCATTCCATTACTTTACCTCCTCTCTTCCCCCCACTTGTCGCGAGTAACACATTTAATGCATGTATGACGGCCAGCCTGATCTGAACAAGGAGGTGGGGCGTGTGTTGTTAGATGAGGAGGTGGAGGAGTCACAGTGAGGTGCGCAGGCTGGCCGTGTTTAACCACCTGGCGTGCGCCTGCTCTTTTGCCATGCTTCGCCGTTCTTGTCAACCTTCCTTAACCGCGGCGCCCGCCAAATAACTTGGCAGTTTACCACTTCGCTAAGCCGATCTTTTTCTAACCCGCGCACCTAGCATGCTTCACAACGCAAGAAGAAGGGTGCTCATACTGATTGTGATGATGGTGAGGATGATGTTGCTGATGATAATGGTGAGGCTGCTGATGCTGGTGGTGATGATGCTGATGCTAATGACGATGATGATGAGGATGATGAGCAGGAGGAGGAGGAGGAACAGGAGCAGGAGGAGGAGGAAGAGGAGGAGGAAGACGAAGAGGAGGAGGAGGAGGACGAGGTTAAGATACACAGATGACGATAAGGATCGGGGAAAGGAGGAGGATGGGGAGGGATGGATGTGGGAGGAGGGAATGAGATGAATGAGGAGGCGACAGAGTAGGAAGAGGAGGAGGAGGCGGAGGAGGAGGAGGACCAGTGTAAACCCAAGAGTCATCAACGATGTTGGAATTAACCTTCCCTCCAAGCTACCTTTTCATTGGCCCCTACAGTGGTTCATTTCCATTGAGGGAACTGCCTCGTTGGAAGATTACCGTTTGAAGATCTTGAAGCATGCCAAAACATCGTTCTCGGGACTTCAGCGCCACGTAGCAACCTGACTGCTGCGTTGTGGCGATCTGGAATCGTGCCATAACGCCATTTTTCTGGATCTCAACACCGCGAACCAACATAATTGTTGCACTCGCGTAATCCGGAATGCTTCCAAAACACACTTTTTGGAATGTTGATCATGGGAACCCGTGAAACTCTTGCAATTGTTCAACGACTGCGCGGCGCTAAAGCGAGAGCCACATTTTGAAACGACTCGCCCTCAATCCGTGAAGCTCTGCTTTTTTTACAAAGAATGAGCGCTGCGCTAAGGCGAGAGCCACATTTTGAAAACGACCCGCCCTCAATCCGTGAAGCCCTGCATTTTTTTACGAAGAATGTGCGCGGCGCTATGGCGAGAGCCACATTTTGAAAATGACCTGCCCTCAATCCGTGAAGCTCTTGCAAATTTTGAAAACGAATGTGCGCGGCGCTAAGGCGAGAGCCACATTTTGAAAACGACCCGCCCTCCGTCTGTGGAGCTGTTGTCACTTGTTAAGCTTCAGAGTCGTACATTGTGAGGAAATCTCAAGCGAAACGCCCAGCCCGCCCTCAAAACTGGCCTCGGGGTGCGACAAGGAGGAGTTATCTATAAGGAGTAAGAATGGAGGAGGAGGACGAGGAGGAGGAGGACGAGGAGGAGGAGGAGGACGAGGATGAGGACGACGAGGAGGAGGAGGACGAGGAGGAGGAGGAGGAGGAGGAGGGGGAGGAGGAAAAGGACGATGATGATGAGGATGATGATGACGATGATGCTGACGCTGCTGACGATGCTGATGATGGTGATGATGAGGAGGAGGAGGAGGAGGACGAAGAGGAGAGGAGGAGGAGGAGGAACAGAGGAGGATGAGGAGGAGGAGAGGAGGAGGAGGAAGAAACGGAGGAGGAGGAGGAGATTGAGGAGGAGGAGGAGGGGGATACAGGAGGGGGGATGCGGAAGGATGATGAGGGAGGGTGAGGGAGGAGGCGGGAGGAGGATGAGGACGAGGACGAGGACGAGGAGGAGGAGGAGGAGGAGGAGAAGGCGAAGGAGGAGGAGGAGAAGGAGGAGGAGGAGGAGGAAGAGGAGGAGGAGGAGGAGGAGGCGGAGGCGGAGGATGATGAGGAGGAGGATGAAGAGGATGAGGAGGAGGTGGAGGACGAGGAGGAGGAAGAGGAGGAGGAGGAGTAGGAGGACGATGACGAGGAGGACGAGGAGGACGAGGAGGAGGAGGATAACGAAAAGGTTGATGAGAAGGCATGGCTGGCGAGGCATTAGGGAACGGCGAAGCGGTGGTCCTCTCCCTCTGGACGACCAACGAGGGCCCCATGAACAAGGCCCAGGACTGGAAGGCCCCCGACGAGGACCAGGCAAGTCTTTCCTCAGACATGCTCGCGTCGTAAAACTAATCACGACAGGAGGTTTTTGGTCGTGTTCGGGCTTCAAGGGCCCTTGCCGTGCCCCTGGGCCGTCGAAGAACGACTCGCGATGAAAAACCGGTCTGGGGACCCCGTGTTGAGAAAATCACGACATCGCATGTCTGGTCCTGCCCGAAGCTTCTTGTAGTGTGTTCTCATCGGCCTGCCTTTCCTCTCTCGCGGAGCCTGGCGAGCAGTGCGCGGGCGCGTGTGCCTCGTTGGTGCCGTCCGCGCCAGGGACAGGACATCGCATGGCACGACGTAGAACGTCCCTCCGTTTCTCCCCCCTCACGTCCGCTCCCTCGGCCCCCCTTTACCCCTCTCCTTCATGTCTCCCTCCACAACCAAGCACGTGAGCAACCTGAGTACTACCCTCTCCCTCCTCCCCTGAAGTTGTGCGGGAGGTCTCCCGCCTCCTCCGCCTGTGGTTTGCACCCGCAGGAATTGTGCTCCCGCTGCAGCGTGGGCCGCATTTTCGGATCGGCGCTTAGCCCCCGTCGTTCAGAATGGCGCTGTTCAGATGCGTCTTGAACTTTTCGTCGCCGCTTTTGAGGAGGACCGGCTTTCTCAGAGGGCGTGCCTGCTGGAGCCACCGGCGGCTGTGGAGGGCGCGCGCCAACCCTCTGCGTCCTATTAAAGAATCTCTCCCTCTCTCTCTCTGTCTGTCTCTGTCTCTCTCTGTCCCTGTCTCTGTCTCTCCGTCATTATGTTTCTGTCTCTCTGTCTCTCTGCCTCTTTGTCTCTCTGCCTCTCCGTCTCTCTGTTTCTTTCTTTCTCTCTCTCTCTCTCTCTCTCCCTCTCCGTCCTTCCCTCACTCCCTCTCTTTCTCTCCCACTCTTTCTGTGGCTCTCGTTATGTAATTCTCTCTCGCTCTTGTTTCTCTCCCTGTCGCTACATGCACACGTGTTCATATATCCATATATATATATATATATATTTGTGTATATAAATATATATGTATGTATGTGTGGATTCCTCTTGTTGTTGCTTTGGGTCTTGCTCTTGATGTTGCGCTCGACCTTGCTATTGCATTGCCATTCGCTCATCTCTCTCTCTGCCTTTCTCTCTCTCTCTCTATCTCTCCCTTCCCCTTTATCACTCCTTTTCTCTTACGTTCGTTCTCCCTGGTCTACTCCGTCCCTTCCTCCCTTCCTTCTCCATCCCCATTATCCCTCCCTCATGTTCCTCTTTTTTCTGTTCCTTTTCCTGTTGACTTGCATGCTTTTCCTCCTTATCCTCCTTCTCCTTCTCCTCCTGCCCCATGTCCTCCTCCTCGTTTATCTCCCTTTTTGCCCTTTTGCGCATCCCACCTGCCAAGCTGCTTCATAATAGCGCCCACGATGATTCAGGAGAGTGCCCGATCGCACCCTGCGGCGCATTATGTATTCGATATTTGCATACTTAGCTTTGCTTGCAGTCGCTCTTATTGTAGCATCAGCTGAAAAGTGCTCCTCTTCATTCCCCCACCGTCCTTCGCTTTCTCCTTCTCCTCTTTGTCATCCCTCCCCCTCTTTCTCATCCCCCTCCTCCCTCGCTGCGCGCTCGTCGCCAGTGCAACGACGGCTTTCTGTCTGGCCCGGAGCTGATCATGCGCAACTTCATCGAATCGCAATTCCCAGCTGACAGGAGATTTTAGTGTCCTCGTCCTCCCCCTCATCCTCCTCTCTGGAGCCTCTTCTCTCCTCCTGCTTCTGCTTCTCGTGGCGTTGTCCTCCTCCTCCTCCTCCTCCTCCTCCGCCTCCTCCTCCTCCTCCTCCTCCTCCCCCTTCCCCCCTCTCCATGGTCCTTCCAACCGACGCGGTTTCGAAAAGGGGAGCGAGAGGGGCGGCGAGCGGGAGGTCCTTTCCTCTCCTCCCCTCCCCCTCCCCCCCCCCCCCCCCCCTCCCCCCCTCCCCCTCCCCCCCTTCCCTCCCCCCCTTCCCTCCCCCCCTTTCCTCCCCCCTTCCCTTCCCCCCTTCCCCCCTCCCCCCTCCCCCCTTCCTTTCCTCCCCCCCCCTCCCCCCCTTCCCTCCCCCTCTATAATTCAATACTGTGAAGTTGTGCGGAAGATCTCGCGCCCCCTCCGCGAACTGTTTTACTTTTCCGAATCCCAGTCTTTCTTCATCGTTGTCGCCCCCCTCATTTCCTTCTCCGCCTTCCCCTGGTCCTCCTTTCCTCCCGATCCTTCCGCTTTAGTTCCTGCTGCTGCTGTTCGACCTCAACCTTTTCCTTCCGCTCATCCTCCTGCTCACCCGCCACCTCCTCCTCCTCCTGCGGACGCAGCTCCCCTTTTCCCGATTATGCATGACACGAAGTGGTCTTTCTGTGGGAGCCGCAGGTCGGCTATGACACGCGTCCGCGGATAGCGACAGATCAGCGCCATGTGATGGCATGGGGGGAGGTATAGGATGTCAGATGAGGCGCGAGCGCACCTAGTTTGCCTCTCCCCCTCGCCCTACCCACTCCCCCTTCCCCCCCCTCTCCTTAGAATGTATGTCTTGGGACTTTAATTTAGCATCGGCGCTGGTACACCCGTGGTCGAAAACCAAGTTAAGCCGGCACTATCCCGCGTAGTTCCGTTTATTCCCGCTTCAACATGTTTCACCCCGTGATTGCTGTGGCCTAGTCCGGCTTTGTGGCCCATTAAGCGGGCTTGGTCGCCCTTAATCGTTTTTCCGAGGCTCCCAGGAGACGCTTCTCGTCATGGTCGAGACTACGTCTGACGCCGTGATTGATACCATCTTGGACCATCAATGGCGTCAGCTCGTGGGTAGGGCCGAACCAGTAGACTGGAGAATGCGGTGCCTTTCTAAAGGGGCCGACTGCCTGGTGCGATACGCACGCCAGGCAACACGGATGTAGGTTGTGGTGCATCAGTCCAATCCTTGATTCAGGTTTTTTTTTCTGCCAATCCACGTCCCATGTCGCAGCGACGGGGCCCGGCACCCCGGAAACGGGGGATTTTGGCGTCACATTGCGTTCGGGGCGGTCTTCGGACCGCACGCAGTTCGCGACGGCTCGGCGACCGAGCTCTGGGGGCTCGAGCGCTCTCTGCTCCTCGCCCGCTCTCTCTCTCTCTCTCTCTCTCTCCTCTTCCTCCTCGCCCTCCCCTCGCGGCCACCAGGGGCTGCGTGTGTGTGTGTGTGTGTGTGCTCACCAAGATTCTGCATGCTCATCCCGGCTTGATCTGCCCCCCAGCTGCTCGGCGCACCTCAGTGGCAGCCTGTGTCGAATGGAATCTCCCTCCTCCCTCTCCTCCCCTGCCCCATCCCTCCCCTCCCCTCTCCTCCTCCTCCTCCTCCTCCTCCTCCTCCTCCTCCTCCTCCTCCTCGCCCTCCCCCTCATCCTTCTCCTCCTCCTGCTCCTCCTCCTCGCCCTCCCCTCCTCCTCCTCCTTCCTCCTCCTCCTCCTCCTCCTCCTCCTCCTCCTCCTCCTCCCCTTACTCCTCGTCCTTCCTCCTCCCCCCTGTCCCCTCCTCCTCTTCGCGATCCTCGTTATCTACCTCCTGTTCCTCTATCCCTGTTCCTTATAAGGCACTCCGCTTTGTCACCCTGACAGGGGTGTCCGTATGTCGGGCTTGGCGTTTCGCTTGGGACTTGTTCGCCGCGTGATCTTGAAGCTTGAAGGTTTCAACAGCAGGTGCGCTGACGGAGGGCGGGTGGTCTTCAAAAGGTGGTGTTCGCCTTGGTGCCGCACAGATTCGTCATCTAGGGTGGAGGGCAGGTGTTCTGCAGCACGCGGCTTTCGCCTTCACACCTCGCGCACCTGCCATTTCCGCTCCCAACATATGCGCGAATCGAGACGGGTGGCTTCCAGTGTGTGGCTCTGGCCTCAGCGCCGCGCCCGTTGGTCTGAACCGCTTCCAACCTCCACTCGGATGGAGGGCTGGGGGTTTTCAACATTTCGCTCCGTCATCGCCGCGGATACTCGCCTTTAAACGCAAGCGTTTTCAACCGATTTCAACTATGACACGGGTGGGGGGGTCGAGTGGTTTTCAAACTACGGTTTTCGCTGTCGCGCCGCGCCCGTTCGTCTTGACATCTTCTGGCAGCAACACGGCGGATGGTTTTCAACAGGTGGCTCCCGCCTTACCGCCGCGTGTGACTTTTCGCAGCAGTTTTCTTGTGCCTCCCATAGCTTCCGCGGGTGAATCTGTCATTGTTACACGTACGGAGGTCGGCTCCTTCTCAATAGTTGTCTCACATTTGTTACGTCTTGAACGCTCGTTGCCAGATGTGTGAACTTGTTCGGCAATTGCACGGATGGACGGCGGTTTCTTTTCAAGGCGTGGCAACCGATGGACGTGTCTTTCGATTTCACGATCATACCTCGTGGCCCTTCTAAAAGCCAGCGCGATGTAGAGCAACACCTTTCCAAAGCGGGACCATCGCCAGGATGGCAGGACCATGGAATGCTCCCCATGTAGACATGGCTTACCGTAGTGAAGCGGGGTGGATGTTGAGAGCTATGGGGAAGGGGGCTTCGGAATTACGGGTGGTTTGCAACATGGATGAGGCATCCTGGGTTTACTCAGCCCCTCCAGTTCCTCTTCCTTGTGCACCTCCTCTTCCTTTTCCGGCCCCCCTCTCGTCCTCCCCTCGCTCTGGCCCGAGCGGCTGCACGGCTCGGCTCGCGCTCCTGCGGCGGCGCGACGCCTGGGCCCAGGGGGCGGCTCCTTCCGCGAGCGCTGCTGCGACCTTCCTTGGGCGCAGCCGTGCGCGCTGCGGCGCAAGCCGCAAGAGCCCGTGCGCCTCGCCGCACGGTGGCTGCGGCCGCGCGCGCTCCGTGGCGTCCGCTTCGCGCACTGCGGTGGCGGCGCCGGTTGGCGGAGGCCGCTGGCGACAAGGACGTCGACCTTTGAGGAGGGGGAGGAGGAGGAGGAGGAGGAGGAGGAGGAGGAGGAGGAGGAGGTGGAGGAGGAGGAGGAGGAGGTGGAGGATCTGGATCTGGCAGGATCTGGCAGGCCTGATCACCGCAGTTGCGAGGCACGCACCGTGGCGACGAAAGAGAGGCCGCCCCTCACAAGTCGGTCTTGGAGGCGCCACGAGGAGGCAGAGCAAGCCCGTCAAAAGAGGCCTCCGGCGGAGGGGCGACACCCAGGTGGCGGCGCTCCTTGGGGCTGCTGCTGCTGCTGCTGCTGCTGCTGCTGACGCACCAGTGGTGGCTGGCGCTGCCGATAACATGGCGCGACTCGTGGGCCGACAGCGCAGCTGGCGGCGCTGCTCGCGAAGCTGGCGCTGGTTCGTGGGGCTCGGGTGTCGAGCGGGATGCCCTCCTGCGTCGCCCCGTCGACCTCGCGGAGAACACAGGCATCCGCATCGACACGGGCGGCCTCCGACTGCAACGGCCTCACTTCACCAAGGCAGTGGTCGGCCGCCGCGCTGGCTACAGAAGGCTTCGCCTGTCACGCCGGATTCGCAAGGCCTCGATGCCCCGCCGCGCGGTGCCTGAAACGCCGCTACGCCGTTACAGATCTTCGTGGCGTTGTATGAGAGCGTCAAGATGGTGTGAGCTTCGTCTGTTAGTTCCGCGTTGGCGGGCGGGCGGTGGCTGACTTCTGTCCCGACCCCTCCCCGCAGAATCCTAACGGGCTGAGTCAAGAGCAGTCGGATCAGGGATCCGGGATGTCAGAATGCGGATTTTCATCATACTATGTAGTATTCGATGTTATCCGGGATGATTGTAAATCCCAACGTAAAAAGCATGCGGCTCTCAACATCTCATCGGACGGGATCCAGCCTCTGCCAATGCAAGACGACGGCGCCTCACCTTGTCAACCACCTCTCGGAACGCCCATGTACGCACAGGATTTCACAATCATAGATGACGTTTTTTTTTGTTGGAACGTATTCAAAATGGTGCCCCTGCTTCAGCGCGCGCCTCATCTTAGGATCGGCGCGCGCGCCCCGTCCTTCAGAATGGCACTGTCCCCCCCCCGCGCGGGCCGCTTCTGGATCCTAGTCCTTCCTCGTCGTCGTCGCCTCCCCGCTCCCTTCCCCTCCTCCGCCTCCCCCCATTTCCTGTTCCTCCCGTTCCTCCCCACTTCTTCCGCTGCTTCCTGCTGATCCATGCGTGAGACCCCCGCCGAAGCTGGGAGGGAAGTGCTGTCTCGCCTCCAACGGGGGCTGCACCCCGAGCCTGGCACCTATTTATCTGAACTGGGAAGTTTCATTCGGCTCTTCCTCGTGCTAATCCTCCAGTTCGTCCGCCACTTCTTCCTCCTCCTCCTCATTCAGTGTACACAGCTCTTCTTGCCTGATTTCGCATATCACGATGGTGTCCTTTTCCAGGGTTCCAGGTACGGTATGGTCCCCGCTGGCGGACAGGCAACGAATCAGCGCCATTGGAAGGGGTGGGCGGAAGAACTAGCATATCAAATATGGCGCGAGCGCGCCTAGCCTGTCACTCCCCCTCATGTTTCTTCTCCTCCTCCTCTGCCTCCTCCTCTTCCTCCTCTCCCCCGCCCCCAGAGGAGGCAGAGGAGGAATCAACTTGACTGGAATCACAGCTGATGCTGGCGCGCCCTGCCGGTATCAATCCGTGGGTTGACATGTACGCGTAGTCACACCTCTTGCATGGCGCGTTTTGGAGTGATGCCTGCTGCAAGCGACTTCGGTCACACCTCGTTCGGTAGTCGCCCGTGGACCACAGTAAGTCGTAGTCGATGACACTAACAGTCGCAGTACAGTAGCCACATACGATCCGACATCTTGCTGTACGTTCGTTTGGGCACATTCGTCGTCGATCTTTGATGGTCCTCATGTGCCCCAGAGCTTCTGTGGGCCTCCCGGGGTCATCGGGGGACGAACAACTTCCGTGGGGCACCCGCCGACAGGCTGGTTTCTTGTTGTGGCGCATGCTGCAGAAGTGGAGGCGAGAAGCACTCCCAATGCACCCATCCTTCTCCCCAGAGCGGCGGCGGGCGCGAACGCTCTCTTGCGCCCTGGGCGAGCCTGCTGCTGCCCTCGCTGCCTCGGCCCAGCAGCGGCGAGGCAGAAAAAGGTGCAGACCCGGGCGGGCCCCGCAGGCTGGACGGGCGGGGCACCGGGCGACCCCCCCCTAAAACAGATGGCGTGGTGCCTCCACTCGCGGACTACTGCGGGCCGCGCGCTCGGCCTCGGCGAGCCTAGGGGGCACCACGAGACACCGGCACGTGCTCCCAAGGCAGACAGGTGTCCGCTGGCGGCGGTTGCTGCTGCCACCTGCCCAGCGTAGCATTACAAGCGAGGCTGCTTCACCGCTCAGATAGCGGGGCCGTAGCCTCACGGGCGTGGCGTGGAACCATGTCCGGCGCAAGCGAGGTGCACTCGTGGAGACCAGGGTCCAGCTGGAGTGCCATCCAGATGCTGCGGACTTGATCGAGCGTGCAACCGCGGCGGAGGCACAGCAGCGCATCTGCAATGCCGGGCAAGGCCCGAGATCTCTGTGCGCCGGACCAGCGGAGAGAAGCCGACGCGGCACCTCCCTTCGGTGCCGCACCTGCTCGGCACGCCCCGCCGTCCCCCTGCGCACGGCTCCGTGACGTGGTTTTCTGTTGGTGGTGCGGGTCCCCGGCGAGAGCGTGGAACAGTTCTATTTTGAAACAGTCTATCCCCGACAAAAAGAACGCTCCCAAAAGAGAAATCTACGAATATTGGAAAACGCCTTTTTCATTTCTTTGCAGGAACTTCTCATAACAACGACAACAGTCATCGCAGGCATGAGCAAGACGTCCAGGGATGGCTGCAAAGCACGATCCAAAACCAAGCTTCGTGCAGTCGACTGCAGCCTGCTGGTCACCAGCTGGATCGAACGGTGAAGCTTGGCCGTGCGCTCGGGCCACCATGTGTGCCATACAGTGCCAACAGCTTTTGCACGACATGAACGCGATGCTGTCCGTATGCCTGCCAGGGGCGACAAGTGCCGCACGGCTTCGATTTTGCAAGTCGCATCGGCATTCTTCTAACATGCAGGCGGCGTCCAGGATTGTGGGACTGATTGAGTGGCATGCCCGATCTTTCCGTGAGGATGGAAAGATCGGTGGCGATCCTCGCTCCGTTTCCCGTTCCTGCCCCCCCCCCCTTCGCCGCGCCCTTGGGTGCCAGAGGAGCGGACGCTTTGCCTGGGCGGTGGACCAGAAGGCGCGGGGATGATGATGATGATGATGATGATGATGATGATGATGATGATGATGATGATGATGATGATGATGATGATGATGATGATGATGATGATGATGATGATGATCGCCGCTAATTGTAGCTTCTCGCCAGAGTTTCAGAAAAGACGCCGTGCCGTGGATGTGGCGTTTCACTCCCTGGGGCGTTTTTGGACCCTGAAACGCACTCCCTGGAAAGTAAGGCGAGGCATGTTGATTTGCTGCGTTCAGAACGCAGCGTTGCACGGCAACGAGTGTTTTATTTTGAATGAAAACAACTGGCAGGCCTTAGATAAGTTAGTTGCACGCCATGCACGCATTGCTATGAGAGGCGCCGCACATACACAGCAGGAGGAGGTGGTGGACGGCAAAACACGCACTAAACACAAGTCGATGACGACCTCGGAGGTGCTAGAGTATTGGCGCATGGCTCCCTGTAAGTTAGAAGCTCGAGTTCGCAGAATGAAACGGTATCAAGCTATCGCACGCTCGCCGCACCAAAATGATCAAGTACTCACCGCAATGTTCGGCACGCACGCTTTCGACTCGGAGGAAACAACTATCGGCGACGACATCACAGATCGTGCAAACCCGTGGGCCAAACGAGTGAAGTCTGACATTATTGATAGCCTGAACGAGATGGATGATGATGGAGGTACAGTTGGTAGTATGGCTCGTCTTGGGTTTCTTCAGATCTTCCGTGATCCAGAGCTGGGGGAGGAGTTTGCACAGATGGACTTCACACGGCTTCGTCAAGGAGCCTACTCATCGGCGATACCCCCACCTGGATGGATCCCCTCGACGGTGCCTCGCATTATCCCTCTATGCGCCCCGTGCCGACAGCAAGAGCCTGAGGAGTGGGTATGTGGATTCGAGATGGAGGAGGGGGTGACCTGCTTAAAGAAGTTTAACTCATTCAAATCGGTTGCACATCATAGACTTGCTTATCATGGACTACGCGACCCGTGGGTTTCCTTAGTCGTCACAAACGTGTGCCCGTATTGTGAAGGTGTATATGGCTCAGTTGTGGCAACACAGCAACATGTAGTAAAAAGCGTTCTACGAGGAGGTGTATGTGTCAATCGTTCCAGATATCTAGGAGGCCCTCTACACCCCGATCGTCGCCGGTGCCATTTATGCTCGTTCGAGGCTGACACCTTTTCGGGATTGCAAGAGCACCTTCAGTCACACGCTCCACCTTTTGACTCTCTACGCAGTGCCGAAGACGATGCCTTTCGAGCTGAAGGCCCCAGCGTGGGGACTACGGCAAGAAGGAACTGGCGAACCCGCCGCTCAAAGACGCAAAAGGCATGCCAACGAAATCGTCGACAGCAGCGAAGAAAAGACGGTGGCAAAGCTGGTGCTCATCCTCGCACGCCTCGCCCTGTCCAACGCAGCGGAGCTCAGAGAGGTAACGGGGATCTTGTGGCGAACCGTCCTGCTTCCCAGCACGCACCCCATCTGCTTGGCGATGAAGGCCGCAGGAGTCGCTTACCACAAAGAGGTGACCAGGCTGCAGGGCAAGACTCAGGAGCTCGAAGTTCTCGGAGTGCCGTATGTACACGTGTTCACAGCGATGCTACAAGGCATGGCGAAAGGAGATCTAGGGGAGGGAATCCAGCACGAGATGGAGAAGTTTTGGGGCCAGTCCGTCGAGGGCAAGACGGCGCAGCAGCTACAGGAGGTGGTACTTCACTGCCGAGCGAAACCCGCCAAGAAGAAGGACGGACAGCCCGAGATGACCAAGATCGTCTTCGCCCTCAGCCGCGACCACGACGGCATGGAGAAGCTACTGGTGAATGTGTTCAAGGGATATCAAGGCATCGTGAAGATGGGCCCCGCTCCTCGGGGTCCGCTGGAGCGAGCAGCGCAGAAACTTCTGGACGAGTACGAGAAGAAGTGACACGACCACGGTTGAGTGCACACCAGCGTCTGATGCTACGCGCCCATAGTGAGAGACTCTTGACCTTAGTGGAGCAAGGCTTTGTGACGTTGGAAGCAGCAACGAGAGCGGCGGCACAATCTAAAGTTACAGTTCCCGTTCGCCGACATACCCGCTCTCGAATGCAATAATTTTGGTTGCAGCTCTCGTTTTTGGTCCAGACTGAAGCCGTGGAAGGCACTCATATGATATTCCAGTAAGTGGAAGTTTGGACACTGCTGAGCTGTACTATTTAACACTGCAGTGGAGAAGTTTATCTTCACCGCATTCGGCACTGATGCGGAATGGTTTATATTCTATGAAAGTACGGTGCCTTCTTTGATTAGTATTGGTGGTATTTGACCCCCTCTGTCGGTGTGCAACGCCTTAATGTCTGGACCTCTGGTCCTGCGCCTTCAGAGGGGGCCGCTCTTTTATGTTTCAGTGATTGAAGCCGAGCAGATCTACATCATTGGAGGCAGTGGTGAGATTCTGTTATGAGGACATGTCCTTCCTCCCCGACGGCCTGTACGCCCAGGCGGGAGCGCCCGAGAGAGATAAAAGGATAGCACCTCGTCGGAATTTGTAATTCGATTGGCCTGTCAGTTGTTGTGGAGCATCTCCCCTTCTCGCGCCTGCCTCCCCCCCGCGCCTGTTCTCCCTTCCACGATAGATCGTTGGCCCTTAATTGAATGCCCTCTCAGATCGGTGGTGCGTCGTGGCTCTCGGGTCCCCCACCAACGAGTCGCCACGAATCGCCTGTGGGCCCCCATCCCCAGCGTTCGGGGCCAGCTGATCCTCCTGTAGGCCCTCAGGGCGAAGTGACACAGCTGAAACTCAAAGGGTTCAGGCCCAGTCTTTTTGTTTTCCAGCTCGTCTGTGGACGCCCCCAGAGACCCATTCCCATTCCCATGATGATGATGGATGATGATGATGATGATGATGATGATGATGATGATGATGATGCTGATGATGATGATGATGATGATGATGATGATGGTGGTGGTGGTGGTGGTGGTGATGATGATGATGATGATGATTATGATGATGATGATGATGATAATGATGATGATGCTGTTGATGATGATGATGCTGATGCTGATGCTGATGATGATGATGATGATGATGATGATGATGATTATTATTCTGATGATGCTGACGCTGATGATGATGACGATGATGATGATGAGGAGGAGGAGGAGGAGGATGAGGAGGAGGAGAAGGAGGAGGAGGGGGGGGCATCGGCCGGATTCACGATCTAGGAATGGACTAGATCGCGATCGAGTCCATTCTGGATCGTGAATCGGTCCGTTGTTGGATCCTGAATCGGTCCGTTTTAAATCGCGAGTCTGTCCATGTCCATTCTGAATCGTGAATCGAGCAAAACTCGTCTTGTTTGCAGGTCGGTCGGACCAAATCGCGATCTGGTCCGGAAGGGCTGATTCACGATTCCAAAACGGACTGATTCAGGATTCCGGAACGGACCCATTCACGATCTAACATGGACCGATTCACGATTTAGAACGGACCGATCTCGTCGACGTGTTCGGGTGTATTCATTTGAAGGGACGTATGTGGATTTTGGAAGTTTTGGGAGGGGTTGGGTGGATTTGGGAGGATTTGAAGGATTCGGGTGGATTTGGACGAACTTGGGTGGGTTCTCGGAAACTTTGGAAGGATTTGGATGGGTGGGTTTGGGAGGATTGGGGTGGATTCGGGAGGCTTTGGAAGGAATTTGGAACATTTTGGCGGATGTGGGGGAATCTTAACGGGTTTGGGAGAATTTTTTTGGGGGGGAGGGGGGGTGGGAGATTTTGGGTGGACTTGGGAAGATTTGGGTGGATTTGGATGGATTTGGGTGGGCTTCGTAGGATTTGGGAAGGATCTGGGTGGATTTGGGAAGATGTGGGAGGATTTGGGTGGGTTTGGGGAGATTCGGGAAGACGTTGGTGGATTTGGGAAGACGTGGGTGGATGTGGGAGGCCTTGGGTGGGTTTGGGCAGATGTGGCAAAACGCGGGTGGAATTGGGAAGATCTGGGTGGATTTGGGTGATTTCAAAAGGGTCTGGGGGGATTTGGGTGGATGCGGGTGGATTTGGGAGGATTCGGGCGTGTTTGGCAGAATCTGGGAAGACTTTGGTGGATTCGGGGGTGGAACCCGAAACATAAATTACGCTACCGAGAAACCCCACATACTGAATTTAAATCTTATGTGTTTGCTTAAGTTTATACTATATGCGCAATTCTGCGTTCTCAGCCCTCGTCGCGAATGTTCCCCTATGTGTCATCCAACGCCATATTGCTTGAACCTCCTCCCTCTTCCTAGCCTTCTATCCTCCATCGAGGACAGATTCGAGCCAGCCAGCGGCCGCGGTGAGGGGCCACCCCCTGCGCACCCTCTATGGTGTCGAGAAATTGCCACGCCTGCTATGCCCTGGGCGACCGTCGTGCGTAGCAGCCGCGGTGAGGGACCCACCTTCTGCGCAGCCTCTATGGTGTAGAGACAATGCCGCGCCTGTTCTGCCCTGGACCACCGCCGTGCATAGCGGCCGCGGTGAGGGACCACCCCCTGCGCACCCCGTATGACGTCGAGAAAGTGCCACGCCTGCTATGCCCTGGACGACCGTCGTGCATAGCGGCCGCGCTGAGGGACCACCCTCTGCGCACCCCCTGTGGTGTCGAGAAAGTGCCACTCCTGCCACGATCTGCGAGCGTGTTACGGATAGAGGCCGCGCTGAGGGACCACCTTCTGTGCACCCCCTGTGGTGTCGAGAAAGTGCCACTCCTGCTACGATCTGCGAGCGTGTCACGGATAGAGGCCGCGCTGAGGGACCACCTTCTGCGCCCCCTTTGTGGTGTCGAGAAGGTGCCACCACGAGACGGAGCCGCGCTGCCACTCTGTGTGGTGTCGAGAAAGTGCCACTCCTGCCACGATCTGCGAGCGTGTCACGGATAGAGGCCGCGCTGAGGGACCACCCTCTGCGCACCCCTTGTGGTGTCGAGAAAGTGCCACTCCTGCCACGATCTGCGAGCGTGTCACGGATAGAGGCCGCGCTGAGGGACCACCCTCTGCGCACCCCCTGTGGTGTCGAGAAAGTGCCACTCCTGCCACGATCTGCGAGCGTGTCACGGATAGAGGCCGCGCTGAGGGACCACCCTCTGCGCACTCCCTGTGGTGTCGAGGAAGTGTCACTCCTGCCACGATCTGCGAGCGTGTCACGGATAGAGGCCGCGCTGAGGGACCACCCTCTGCGCACCCTTTGTGGTGTCGAGAAAGTGCCATTCCTGCCACGATCTGCGAGCGTGTCACGGATAGAGGCCGCGTTGAGGGACCACCCTCTGCGCACCCCCTGTGGAGTCGAGAAAGTGCCACTCCTGCCACGACCTGCGAGCGTGTCACGGATAGAGGCCGCACTGAGGGACCACGTTCTGCGCACCCCCTGTGGCGTCGAGAAAGTGTCACTCCTGCCACGATCTGCGAGCGTGTCACGGATAGAGGCCGCGCTGAGGGACCACCCTCTGCGCCCCCTTTGTGGTGTCGAGAAGGTGCCACTCCTGCCACGATCTGCGAGCGTGTCACGGATACAGGCCGCGCTGAGGGACCACCCTCTGCGCACTCCCTGTGGTGTCGAGAAGGTGCCACTCCTGCCACGACCTGCGAGCGTGTCACGGATAGAGGCCGCGCTGAGGGACCACCTTCTGCGCACCCCTTGTGGTGTCGAGAAAGTGCCACTCCTGCCACGATCTGCGAGCGTGTCACGGATAGAGGCCGCGCTGAGGGACCACCCTCTGCGCACCCCCTTGTGGTGTCGAGAAAGTGCCATTCCTGCCACGATCTGCGAGCGTGTCACGGATAGAGGCCGCGCTGAGGGACCACCCTCTGCGCACCCCCTGTGGTGTCGAGAAAGTGCCACTCCTGCCACGATCTGCGATCGTGTCACGGATAGAGGCCGCGCTGAGGGACCACCCTCTGCGCCCCCTTTGTGGTGTCGAGAAGGTGCCACTCCTGCCACGATCTGCGAGCGTGTCACGGATAGAGGCCGCATTGAGGGACCACCCTCTGCGCACCCCCATGCGATGTCGAGAATGTGCCGCGCCTGCCACGCCCTGCGAGCGTGTCACGGATAGAGGCCCCGCTGAGGGACCACCCTCTGCGCCCCCCCAGCGGCGTCGAGAAAGTGCCGCGCCTGCCACGCTCTGCGAGCGTGTCACGGATAGAGGCCCACTGAGGGACCACCCTGCGCCTGTCGCACGCCTGCGAGCGTGTCACGGATAGAGGCCCACTGAGGGACCACCCTCTGCGCACCCCCATGTGATGTCGAGAATGTGCCGCGCCTGCCACGCCCTGCGAGCGTGTCACGGATAGAGGCCCCGCTGAGGGACCACCCTCTGCGCACCCCCTGTGGTGTCGAGAAAGTGCCACTCCTGCCACGCTCTGCGAGCGTGTCACGGATAGAGGCCGCACTGAGGGACCACCCTCTGCGCACCCCCATGCGATGTCGAGAATGTGCCGCGCCTGCCACGCCCTGCGAGCGTGTCACGGATAGAGGCCCCGCTGAGGGACCACCCTCTGCGCCCCCCCAGCGGCGTCGAGAAAGTGCCGCGCCTGCCACGCTCTGCGAGCGTGTCACGGATAGAGGCCACACTGAGGGACCACCCTCTGCGCACCCCCATGTGATGTCGAGAATGTGCCGCGCCTGCCACGCCCTGCGAGCGTGTCACGGATAGAGGCCCCGCTGAGGGACCACCCTTTGCGCCCCCCCAGTGGTGTCGAGAAAGTGCCGCGCCTGCCACGCCCTGCGAGCGTGTCACGGATAGAGGCCCCGCTGAGGGACCACCCTCTGCGCACCCCCTCTGGTGTCGAGAAAGTGCCGCTCCTACCACGCTCTGCGAGCGCGTCACGGATAGAGGCTGCGCTGAGGGACCACCCTCTGCGCACTCGTGGTGTGGTGGTGTGTGGTGTGGCGTGGTGTGGTGTGGTGCGATGTGGCGTGGTGTGGTGTGGTGTATGTACGAGCGAGAAGGAGGAGGTGAGGTGGGAACGCAGGTGTGACGCGGGTGTAGAGAAGGGGAGGTGAGTGAACGCGGGTGCGACGCGGGTGTAGAGAAAATCAGAATCCCATTTAGAATGTGAGGAAAAAGTATCCCCCTCCCAGACGGCCCACTGCAAATACCGTTTCCATGGCCAAGCGTGAGTCCGCGCGCGCATTTCGCGGAGGACGGGTCGGAAAAAGGAAAACAAATCGGAACCAGAAAAATCAAAACAAGCCTAAAATTCCCCCCTCCCAGACGGCCCATTGCAAGTACCGTTTCCGCGTCCAGTCGCGCGTCCGCGCGCGAAACCCGAAACATCAAAAAAAGCCTATACTTTCCCCTCCCAGACGGTCCATTGCAAGTGCCGCTGCCGTGGCTGGTTGCGCGTCCGACCGCGCATTTCGCGGAGGACGGGTCGGAAACAAGAAAAAAAGGCGGCACCCAAACAATCAATTTAAAAACAATAATTTCCCCCTCCCAGGCGGCCCATTGCAAGTACCGTTTCCGTGTCCAGTCGCGCGCCCGCGCGCGCATTTCGCGGAGGACGGGTCGGAGACAGGAAAAAACATCGGATCCCGAAAAATCAGAAAAAACAAATATAATTTCCCCCTGCCAGACGGCCCATTGCAAGTACCGTTTCCGTGTCCAGTCGCGCGTCCGCGCGCGCGCATTAAAATGTCGAAACCCGAAAAATCAGAAAAAAACAGCATAATTTTCCCCTCCGTCCAGTCGCGCGTCCGCGCGCGCATTTCGCGGAGGACGGGTTGGAAACAAGAAAAAAAAGTCGGAACCCGAAAAATCAGAAAAAGCCAATAATTTCCCCCTCGCAGACGGCCCATTGCAAGTACCGCTCCCGTGGCCGGTTGCGCGTCCGACCGCGCATTTCGCGGGCCTGGGAGGATTGGGGAGGTTTTGGGTGGATCTGGGAATATTTTGAATGGATTTGGGGTGGGTTCGGGAGGATTTGGGAAGATTCGGGTGGATTTGGGGGGGTTCCCCAAACGGATTCCCCAGCCCGGGCGCGGCCGTAGAGGATTCCCCAGCCCTGGCGCGGCCCTAGAGGATTCCCCAGCCCTCGCGCGGCCCTGGAGGATTCCCGCGCCCTGGCGCGGCCCTAGAGAATTCCTCAGCCCGGGGGCGGCCTTGGAGGATTCCCCAGCCCTGGCGCGGCCCTAGAGGATTCCCCAGCCCTGGCGCGGCCTTGGAGGATTCCCCAGCCCTGGCGCGGCCCTAGAGGATTCCCCAGCCCTGGCGCGGCAAAGAGGATTCCCCAGCCCTGGCGCGGCCCTAGAGGGTTCCCCAGCCCTGGCGCGGCCCTAGAGGATTCCCCAGCCCTGGCGCGGCCCTCCCAGCCCTGGCGCGGCCCTAGAGGATTCCCCAGCCTTGGCGCGGCTCTAGAGGATTCCCCAGCCCTGGCGCGGCCCTACAGGATTCCCCAGCCCTGGCGCGGCCCTAGAGGATTCCCCAATCCTGGCGCGGCCCTAGAGGATTCCCCAGCCCTGGCGCGGCCCTAGAGGATTGCCCAGCCCTGGCGCCGCCCTAGAGGATTGCCCAGCCCTGGCGCCGCCCTAGAGGATTCCCCAGCCCTGGCGCGGCCCTAAGGGATTGGACCAGATCCCGATCTAGACCATTGTGACGAGGAAGAGGTCTGCTGGACCAGATCACGATGTAGTCTAAACGAAATCGTGAATCAGGCGAAGTGGGTTCACCTCGATCGGACTAGATCACGATCTAGTCTAAAACAAATCGGGAATCAGCCTAACATCCACGAGGGGGATACAGGAGGAGGGGAGGAGATAGAGGAGGTTGAGGAGGAGGGCGGAGGAGGGCGGAGGGAGATGACAAGGAGGAGGAGGAGGCGGAGGAGGAGGAGGAGGAGGAGGAGGAGGAGGAGGAGGCGGAGGGGCAGGGGGAGGAGGAGGAGAGGAAGAAACGGAGGAGACGGAGGAGGAGGAGGAGGAGGCGGAGGAGGATGAAGATTAGGATGATGATAAGGGTGATGATGCTGCTGATGATGATAAGGCTGATGATTATGATTATGATGATCATGACGATGATGACGATGGTGATGCTGATGACGATGATGATGATGATGATGATGATGATGATGATGATGATGATGATGATGATGAGGATGAGGATGACGATGATGATGATGATGATGATGATGCTGATGATGATGATGATGATGATGATGATGATTATGATGATGATAGTTGTGATGATGAGGAGGAGGAGGATGAGGAGGTGGACGAGGAGGGGGAGGAGGAGGAGGAGGAGGAGGAGGAGGAGGAGGAGGAGGAGGAGGAGGAGGTGTTTCCGGCTCAGGTCTGGGTATGGAATGGCTTGATTGTCCCAACTCGACCGAAAAGGGGGGGATCCCCCCGTAGCGCGCGACGGAGGCTAGCATTCACGCCCGCATCGTGGAGCTGAAGCTGCCGCCCAACCCGCTGGACGATCTGATCGACCGGCTGGGAGGGCCACAGGCACTGGAGAAGAGCGAGGGGGAGGAATATTGATGTTGATGATGTTGTTGCTGTTGCTGTTGCTGTTGCTGTTGCTGTTGCTGCTTCTGTTGCTGTTGCTGTTGCTGTTGCGTTTGCTGTTGTTGTTGTTGTTGTTGTTGTTGTTGTTGTCGTCGTCGTCGTTGTTGTTGTTGTTGTTGTTGTTGTTGTTGTTGTTGTTGTTGTTGTTGTTGTTGTTGTTGTTGTTGTTGTTGTTGCTGCTGCTGCTGTTGTTGTTGTTGTTGTTGTTCTTTGTTGTTGTTCTTTGTTGTTGAACAATGCGGGTTTGAAGGTCCCCCCCCACCGGCAACCAGCAACCCAGCGCCCCTCCCCTGGGGGTGGGCTACGCTCCGTCCAGGGGGGAGTTTTTCCAATCCTACATGAATCCAACCGGAGCCGAACCCAACCCTACCAGAGCTGTCCCCAACCCTATAGAGATTCTACCAGAGCTGTACCACACCCTTACAGGCCGTATGGGATGTGTATCGGATCCCATACAGGGCGTATGGGATATGTATCGGCTCCCATGCAGGCCGTATTGGATCTGTAGGGGATCCCATACAGGCCGTATGGGATTTGTATGCGATCCCAGACAAACCGTATGTGATCTGTATCGGGTCCCAGACAGGCCGTGTAGCATCTGTATGGGACCCCATACAGGCCGTATGGGATCTGTATCGGACCCCATGCAGGCCGTATTGGATTTGTAGGGGATCCCATACAGGCCGTATGGTATCTGTTTGGGATTCCGTACAGGCCGTATGGGATTTGCATCGGTTCCCATTCTGGCCGCATGGGATCTGTATCGGATCCCATACAGGCCGTGTGAGATCTATCTGTGTGGGATTCCATACAGGGCGTATGGGATCTGCGTAGGATCCTATACAGACCGTATGGGATCTGTGAGGGATCCCACACAGGCCGTGTGGGACCAGTGTCGGGTCCCATGCAGGCAGTATGGGATCTGTATGTGGTCTCATAGAGGCCGTACGGGATCTGTGGTCGGTCCCCATACAGGCCGTATGGGATCTGTATCGGATCCCATGCAGGCCGTATTGGATATGTAGGGGATCCCATACAGGCCGTAGGGGATCTGTGTGGGATCTCATACAGGGCGAATGGGATCTGTGTGGGATTCCATACAGGCGGTATGGCATCTGTGTGGAATCCCTTACAGGCCGTATGGGATGTGTTTGGGATCTCATGCAGGGCGAATGGGATCTGTGTGGGATTCCATACAGGCGGTATGGCATCTGTTTGGAATCCCCTACAGGCCGTATGGGATGTGTGTGGGATCCCATACAGGCTGTATGGGGATCTGTAGCGGATCCCACACAGGCAGTTTGGGATCAGTATCGTATCTCAGACAGGAATGCAAAGGAACCATGCGAAACCCTGGGTCGACTCAGACATCTGGGATCTCCAATCGGATCCCATGCAGGGTTTCCATATGGGCCCTATAGGGATCGTATAGGCCCTGCAGGGTTTCCATAGGGATCCTGTAGGTACCCCGTTCCAGAGCCTCGCCGGAGCAAATCTCGGAATCCGCTTGGGGTTTCGTCGGGGCATTTTTTGTTTTGTTTGTTTTCGTTGGGTTGCTCGGGTGCTGGGCTGCTGGGGGGGGGGTTGGTGGCCACGCGTCCTTGTGATCCGCCTTGAGTACTGGGGGTGGGGCGGTTACAGCGAGCGCACGGGACGCGTCCCTCATTGCCGCCTTGATCTTGTTTTTGTTTTTGTTTTAGTTGTTGAGATTGTTGTTGATGTTGTTGTTGGACTCTCATTTATGAAAACAATTCTGGTTGATCCCCCCTCCGGTAGCATATGTGTTTTTCAGTTAAAGTTCCCCTCCTGGGGCTCGCACCCTGTTTTCTATCAGTGAAGGTATTCCTCCTCAAACTGCGTTGTTGGCCCCCGAAATACAATAACAACTGCTCCCGCCTGATACTCGCAATGTATTGGAGAATCTCGCTCTCGCGCGGGACGTCCTTACAATTTATGGAGGAATCGCGCTCTCGCGTGGGACTTCCTCGCACTTTATTCAGACGATGCGCTCTTCGGCGCTCAGGAATCACGCTCTCGCTTCGGGCTTTATCGCGTTTTTTCCCGGGAATCGCGCTATCTCTCGATAACTTCCTCGTGATTCATGCAGGACCCACGCTTGAGCATCCCGCCTGCTCGACCTGGTTGCCTGGGCCCGCCTTCCCGACCTGCCCGCCATGGGTCTGCCCACCCGATCTGCCCGTCTGGTTCTACCACTTGTTTTCTGCTCCTTGCCCCCCTTCTGCTAATTTCTTTCGTGCTGCGTGGAGGTTCTGGGTCCCTCTGGCGATTTCCAGCGGTTGAGGGTCTCTGGCGCCCTCCCCTCCCGCGCAGCATAACGCAGGAGCAGGCTCATTTTCATCGGCTTGCGGTGTTTTTTTTTTCCTCCCACAAGTATCAGCGTTGCTTCAAGGATATGGGAAGGGCGGCGGGGATGAGGAGGGGAAGGGGCTCCTAGCCCGTTCAGAATTGTAATATACAGGCCCGTCCCAGCCTGTAGTGTTCGTTCAGTCGCACGCGACCCTTCCCAATCCCACCCTCGCTGCCCCACCCTCGCTCCTCCATATCCCGTGCTCTGGCTTTGGTCAAGCCCTCTGGAGATGTCTTGGGGTGGGGGGATAAAAAGGGTGGGGAGGAGGTTGGGCGGTGGGGAAGGGGCGACCACGACGACTACGGCGACTCCGACGACGTGCAGAGACGACAGTCGCTGTCGCCCTTCGTCCGTGCCGCCCATGATGGCTGCATCGAAGCACGGGGCATCCGGCCGTCCTCGTTCGTCCCTCTTTTCCTCCAACCTCTCGGCCTTCTTGCGTCTCCTGGGTGCCTTCTTAGTTTTCCCTCTCTCCATATGGCTTATCTGTCGCCGAGCTTGGTTTGGCCTTCAGGGCCATGTGTGCAACTGTGCAATTGCAAGTGAGGGGCAGGATGAGGAGGATGAAAATGAGAAGAAGGAGAAGGAAGGAGATGATGATGATGATGATGATGATGATGATGATGATGATGATGATGATGATGATGATGATGAGGAGGAGGAGGAGGAGGAGGAGAAGGAGGAGGAGGAGGAGTGGGAGGATTAGGGGTAAGGGGATGATGATGATGATGATGATGATGATGATGATGATGATGATGATGATGATGATGATGATGATGATGATGATGATGATGATGATGATGGTGATGATGATGACGATGATGATGATACTGATGATGATGATGATGACGATGATGATGACGATGATGATGATGATGCTGCTGATGATGATGAGGAGGATGAAGAAGAGGAGGAACGGCCCCATACCTCCAAAGGGCTGTTTTTTTTCAATCCTGGCGTTCTTCCTGCTGTTTCGGCCTTGGTTCTTTGGGCCCCAAGCCGACAAAACTGGATGTGGGATGAGCACTGGCCCCTGGGAAAGGAGGCAGGCATTCAGGGGCTGCGGAGTGAACGAAAAACAACGTTGTCGGATGTGAGCGGGCCGTGGGGAGGAGGAATGAGAGGAGGGGGCGGAAGATGATGAGAGGCCAGAGGAGGGGGAGTGGAGAGAGGGAGGGAGAGAGGAGGGATGGAGGGAGAGAGAAGGAGGAGGAGGGAGGAGGGAGGGAAGATGAGGAGCGAGGAGGGAGGAGGGAGGAGGAGTGCATGGATGGCTGGAGTGGGGAGGTGGGAAGAACGGGGGGGACGTGGATGAGGGAGAATGGGGAGGCGGACAATGCGGAGGAGAACGAGGAGGGGGAGGAGGAGTGGAGGGAGCGGGAGGGGGAGGCGGGGGAGGAGGGGAAGGAGAGGGAGGAGGATCAGGATGATGATGAGGAGGGGGAGAGGAAGCGGGAGGTAGAGGTGGAGAGAGGAGGGTGAGAAGGAGCGAAGGAGATAGCTGAGTCAAAGGGGAAGGGGTGGGGGAGGGAGGGACAATGGCAGGTAGACAGGGAGGGTGGGTGTCATGAGGTGGATGATGATTACGACGATGAGGATGATGATGGTGATGATGATGCTGATGATGATGATGATGATGATGATGATGCTGATGATGGTGATGATGATGATGATGATGATGATGATGCTGATGGTGCTGAGGATGCTGATGATGCCGCTGCTGCTGATGATTCTTCGTATGAATATGGCGACGATGCTGATGCAGATTATGATGATGGTGATGCTGATGGTGATGATGCTGGTTCTGATGCTGATGACGATGATGATGCTGTTGCTGCTCATGATGATAATGATGTTGATGACGCAGCTGATTATGATTACGATGATAACGACCCTGATCACGTTGATGTTGATGTTGCTGTTGATGTTGTTGTTGATGGTGGTGGTGATGGTGATGGAATGAAGGTGGGGGCGGTGGTGATGGTGATTCTATGATGAGGATGAGGAGGTGGAGAAGCAGGATGCGGAGAAGAGAAAGGAAACGTATGAGGAGGGGCCAGGAGAGGGCTCAACATTATCCGTATTATCTCTTTGGGCTCCGTCGTCTCTGGCTTCTTTTATCAGCACAAGCTGCTTTCTTGTCTCCATTCTCCTTGACTCCTCCACCCTCCTCCTCCACCCCCTCGTGGTGCTGCTCATTCCTGGCGTGCTAGATTTTTCTCAGCTCTCGCGCCCCCCTCTTTCCTCCCCTCCCTTCCGTCTAGCAGCAGTGGTATACTCTGAAGATGCCGATTTCGATGCCACGGCGGAGCTGTCCGCGCCTGAACACGTTCATGCGTGCACAAAGCATGCATGTATGCACGCACACGCGCGTTCAGCAATGGCCCTCCCTTCAGGGGATCACCAGACGACGTGTTATCCAAGTCGGGATCTGGCCGACGACAGCGTAAGCCAAGTAAGCTCGGGTCGTTGGCCTTCAGTGTCTCTAGTTGTTTCAAATGCGGGGCCTTGGAGCTCGCGACTCCTCCCAGGGGTCCATATTTTTTCTTTCCGAGTCGCTTTTTGACGGTCCAGGAGCTCGAACGTGGCCCAATGAGCCCGAAAGTGGCGAAACTCAGAGGTTTTTATTTTCGGATGTTTTTGAGATGTTGAAGTCTGTGCCCCTATCGACTCGTCTTGGGGTGTGCTTTTACGAGAATCTCGTGGGGAATCCAGCTGTTGCAGCCAGAAGCTTCCAAGAGGCCCGAAGGGGCAACACCGTCTCCTGTCTCCTCTCTCCGGCTCCTTACCCTCCTCAACTTCCTCCTCGTCCTCCTCCTCGTCCTCCTCTTCCTCCTCCTCCTCCTCCTCCTCCTCCTCCTCCCTGCTCCTTCCCCCCTCCACCTCCCCTTCTTCCACCTCCCTCTTTCCTCCTCCCGCCTCCTCTTCCTCTCTCCTCCACCTCCTCCTGGGCCGCGACCAAAGACTGATCGAACTCGGTCCTCAGTGTTCACTCTCCCAGGGTCCATCGGGGGGCCAGCCTTGCATCCCAGAGACAAAAAGCTTTGACCCCGGGGCCGCCAACGTCCACCCCCCGAGGCCGCAATCGAGGGACGCCCTCCGGCGCGATTTTTTTGACCTTCTCTCCCCTCCTCCTCCTCCTCCTCCTCCTCCTCCTCCTCCTCCTCCTCATCCTCATCCCCTCCGCTTCTTCCTCCTCCTTTGTTAAGGTTGCACTCCTGGTGTGTTTTTTTTGTCATGGTGCGCCCATTCTTTTGTCTCGGCCCGCGAGCCTGGGGCCTCTGCAGCTTAGCCTGCAGCTGCGGGCCAACATGGTCCTCCCTCACGGCCTCAAGCACATTCGATGCAGGAGGCAGGGAAATATCGAACAAACAAGATGGCAAACGCAAGAGCAAACCGCTCAAATGAACAACGCAGGCAAATATGCAGCAACATACGCACACTCAGGCAGAACACAACGAAAACAAATCCTCCCTGCCAGCCCTGAGCGCCTCCCCATCGGAGAGGCCGTGGCCGAGATGTCCGGCCGGTCGCACCGTCGCTGCCGCGACGCTGCCTCGGGCGAGGTGCGGGTGGAGAGGCGGAAGTCCGCCAGGCCCGCGAGGGAGGGGGCGCAGGGGATTGACGATGATGCTGCTGATGAGGATGAGGATGGTGATGGTGGTGGCGATCTAGGTGGTGATGGTGGTAGTGATGACGAT